ATGAATGGTTTGATGTTGATTACAAGTGACTGCTCTGAACTTGAACAATCTCACCCAGCTTGAGCAGCTCTTCAGTTCTCAATTCCTATTATGCACATCAATCCTATGCACTCAGAGCTGTCTGATTTTCAGTAGGAACAGCACGCAGCTCCATCTGTCTTACCTGTTTCACACTTAGGAATCTGCTTAACCACAGTTCTTTGTGAATAATGAAAATGGAAAACTGCATCTCTCCTCCTCTTTCTATCTCTCATCTCCCTTGCTGTTGGAATTGTTGCTGATTAGACAATATTCCTTGTTCACTCTCCTCTGAAAATTTTGATGATTATACTAGGGAATAAAGGTAACAAAAAGAGACTGCTACTTGAAAAATTCAGTTTGAAAGGATAACCCTCAGAAGTTATTTTATCCTGCCAAGAAAATACTCATCAGGAGAGTTGGATCAAAGCTTACTTTTGTACCTAGTGTTACTAAAGAACATTTTCTGTCCTTATTTACATTTTCTCTGCTGGGTGGAAGTAATGGTTAAAAACCTCAAGCTATTTGCCAGCATCAACACATAATACCAGTCCCCCTCTTGCTAAAGCATCCAGGACTGCTTAGGGGAAAGGGGACAGAATTATGTCAGAAAGAAAGCAACTTCAAACTTCTGAGAGGATAGGAGGAAGCTTTCCCTAAATAATCTTTTCCTCTCCCTTCCCTATTGTTTAGAATATTCCCAGACCTCAAAAGAAGTTTTCTGATTTCTATCTGTACTCAATTTGTTGGGAATATCTCAGTCTCTCTCTCCCAAACTTTCTTTTAAGAACCATATAAACAAAACGGCTATTGAATAATAATGAGTTGTACTGTCATCTAGGAGTGAAATGGTGAGAAAAGCTAAAAGGAGTTTAAGCCAGGAAAGCATGCAGCGGTAGTCAGGGGAAAGAATAGCTTCTAAAGATCATCTGAGAAAATGAAAAGGGTCAGAAATGCAGTATGAATGTATCAGTATGCCACATTTTTTTTTGATATAAACATGCGGTTGGAGTTGAATACTCCAGCCACTGAGACTTAGAGCTGCCAGGCTGCAATGTACCTGATGGAAATTAATTCCTTAAAACTTCAACTCTGAGCCTGTTTTATCAATCCAAGGTCAAAATACAGCAAGCATATAACAGTACTGCATACAAAGCTCTTTTCAACCACGTATACACACACTGACATTAAGCTATGGTTCTCGGTTCTGTTCTTAGTGCAAAAGAGTTTTTAGATTATTTATATTCGAGATTAAAGATTATACTTGCAAAGTGCTGAGATTATTTGTATGTGAGCTATTGAAATTGATTAGAAGGTATACACACATTAAAAGGTTGGTGTGCACATATATACCCACGCCCCCTCATGCATATGAATTTGTATACACATACAGTTTTTTTTTTTTTTTTTTTTTTAAATGTACTTAGACGTTTTATGGTTATATGATAAATAATAGCTAAATTATAAGTTCTTAGAGTGGCAGAATGCCAGCAATAAACAGATCAAAACATTTCCCAATGCTAGTGTCCGTGAATCCTAAGCAATGATATTTCCTACTCTGTAGTGAGTGTCATGATTCTGGCCATGAATCCATAAGGATTCATTTTTTGTTTCCTGCATACAGGCACGCACAGGCTCACGGAGCAGATGTGAAAGTCAGAAGACTAATGTAATTCTTCCTTCAGTTCAGCAACTGCCAGGGTACCTCTGAAGTCGACTCTGTGACTGACACGGCCGAAAAATTCCTGAGAGAATAAGAAAGACTATTAACAGTTCTGAGAAACTTTTCCTCTGAGTAATTATCCCATAGAGACAGTGGGTCTTAGCCATCTTAACCAAACAAACAGTTCTGAGAAACTAAACATATTCTCTCCAAGATTACAGTGAATGAAAAAAAAAAAGAGCATGTTGTGTTAAAAGCAGTTTGAAGCATATGTGCTTCTGTCAGTGAAACACTTGGACTTCTTCCTGCTTTGTGCAGCAGATCAGAATTTCCATACTCCCAAAGGAAACAAAGCATTGGCTGAATAAAAGAGAAAGTCCCATTTACTCTACCGTTACCTTTTTGCAACTGGTTTGATCGAACAGGAGTGAGGCATGGGCACGTGCAGTAACTGTTACAGCCATCAGGCAACTCCAATGGGCAGCTGTTCCACATCTGGGACATTCTGGTCATACCAATCAAAGGAACCAAAAAGGGAAGTTGCTTCAGAACTGTCTTGTTTTGTCAAACTATTTGAGCTTGCTGGCAAATGAAAGATGTGATCTAGTTCCAGAGCAGTGAAAGCCAACAATAAAGCAAAAATCCACCTGACTAAAGGCTTAAGTAAGATTTCAGAAATAATAGCCTTTTTCATAAAAACAAACAACAAAAAAACAACAAAAAAAAACAAACAACACCACAAAACACCTCCTTACATTGTCATCTCAACAGAGTGTGAATGCACACAGTAACATTTACTTATGTATATATGAAGTAATGAGCATTAACTATTTCCTCAGCTACCTCTCGTGCATTGTAAGCTGTATTCAAGCAAGTAAAGTCAATGGGTAGACTGGGAAAAGAAAGACAGTTTTGTGCTACAACTCAACTGTTGGTCCTCCCACAGATTTCAGATTTCTCAGCTCAGTCTTCTGTGCTCCTTTACTCTCTGGAAAACATCAGTGAAAACACTTCTCATCTCTAAGATTTCTGTGTTATGTTTCTTATGTTCCAAGACAATGATTAGTACAACAAACACTGGTTGCAGGCTGAAGTTCACTACTGGTGCATTACTGTGGCTCTATTTGCTGCTACATAACATTAAAGCATCTCCTAAAAGAACATCTTATAGCATTACTCATTTGCATTGTCATAGTGTCAGATGGTTGCAGAACACAGGCAAGTAGGAAACAGAGCAGGAAGAATACATCCTGCTTGAATTTCTCCTCTAGTGCTAATTGTGATGCATTTGGGTTAGTTTTTTGTTTCTGAAATCTACAGTTCTGGATGGACATATCCAAAGATGTAGCAAGGGAAATATAAGGGAGCAGCTGCACTTAGCAGCATGCCAACTACCAAGTGAGCATATTTGCCCATAAAAAAAAAACTATAAAATGTTACTGCAGCTCAGACTAATGACAATTCCTTTCTATGCAGAATAAGTTCTCTTTTGAAATCTACATGGTTGGCATTTTGATGCAAATACGTTTGTTATTAAAGAACAACTGAAATCCATACACTTCAGCAGATTAGCTATTAATACAATGTACAAACTCACAAAGAGGAAGGAACACTTCTTTTCCATTTGGCATATGCAATTTTATTTCTGAATTAGTTGTGAGAATTACAGAATTAAAACTTAAAAGTTTAACAAGTGTATCCTGCCTGACAAACTAATTGGCATATTGGAACAATACTGCAAATAAAATGAAGTCAACAAAATAGTTTATATAAGCACAGAGTTCTCAGAAATGTAATTGTTACTTTCCTTTGTTACAGAAAGGAGGGCTTCCAAATGTTGAAGCAGCAAGACTTCAGAGTGAAACTGATAAGCCAAAGAACTATAAGCTTTGGATCTCATTAGTCCAGGTAAGAAAAATCTACACACAATATGAGTAACCATATACAAACCAGCAAATACAAGGAAAGAAGAAAGACAACTGCTTTTCCAAGGGGTCACACTGACAATATAAAGAAATGACTAAGTCTACAACTGTAATCAGACTTCCTTATAGTCAGGCTAATATAGATTCTATGGTCTGGAGACAATTTCTTAAGCAGAAGACAGACCATCACCAACAATGAAATTATATGCTTTCTGACTACACAAGTTAGATTCACTGAACACAAAGTACACAACTACAGACTGTGATTCAGACCCAAATTTTCCACAGCTAATTCTGTTATGGACCAATACAAATATACATTAGCATAACTGACTGCACACAGTGATGTTAGCTGGACTACCTGCTTGATATTTATTTTGCTGGTAGAATATTTTTATATCATATAAGCATTGCCAAAATTATTCCAAATAACACTAGCACTGCTGGTGTAACTATCATAGAGGCTCTTCCACAGACAGGGTTTTCACAATCAAAACAACTCACAACCAGGCTACAGAAATGTACATCACAAGGATATCAGTGAGAACAGAAATTACCCATATACATCCCAATCCCCTGTGGAAAATCACTATGTACAGAGTAAAAATATAATCCTTCTTGCACCCAAACTACCCTGTGAATGTATAACCACAAACATTGCATGTGGGAAAAGACATCTGTGATCTATCTTCATCTGTCATTTTAGTGTCTATTTTCAGGAAAACTGCAAGATAATTTTTAATATCTGTATTCCAAAAATAGAGAAAAATATGTATTTTGAGTGCTCACAGATAAAGCTGTGTTCACTGGCAGCCCTTCTAAGTGGCATTTAAACAATTTTTTTGCTGTATGTCTGAAGAATTATTTGAAATTATTCATATAACCTGAGGAATATGAAGTTCAATCTGCAGATTCTAATTGCTCATGTTTCTTTAAAATAAGAATGTATTTCATGTGACTTTCAATTTTCTATGAAATTCCAGAGCAGCAGGTTTGTTCAGGGAAAACACCAAATTTCTCCAGTGTAGCTTTCTTTAAAAAAAAGTCCTTCAGAAAAAAAAAGAAAAGAAACATGCTGTTAGCTGAAGTGCAGCAAGAACAACATTGTGTAACTAGATTTCAGTAGGCCAATTTTTATTTGCATAGTAGCAATTGATAAAACAAATACCACATGCAACAAGAAACTTTACCCTGATTTTCCAGACATCTATGACTCTACTTACTACTATTACAGTAGACAGAAAACAATAGTAAACTGAGCCTGTAAACCATGGGTAACTTTGTGATAAATCAACAAAGGTAAAACTCAGTGAAAACCACACAGTTGTGATCAGTTGCTCAGAAGCACACTGTTGAAAAATACAAAAGAAAACTTGTTCTTTGGACAAGCCTTAACAAAGAAATATTGATACAGAAAGGAATTCACAAAGCCACAGCAGTGGTCCACAGATGAGGAAAAAAACATTAAATTAATACTAATCATTTAGGCAGAGCTTATTTATTTTATAGTCTGGCAGATGATGAACCAATTCTGTAGAGGATCTCCAAAGGACATTACAAATACTCATTTTTTTTAGTAGGATAGGCATGGCAAAAGCCCAAAGAACACTCCAGCGTGGCAGAAACAAAATGGAGCGTAGCATGCAATGCACAAGCAGGCACATGCTTGAAATATAAAGCGGCCTCAAAATGGACAGTCATGTTAACCCAGGTCTGGCTATTCACCATGAGGGAACACTGCAGTATCTACAGCTGCAGGAGATACCCTTGTCTGTACACAGGTGCACTGCCTTCAAAAACCTTTCTGTGTGTGTTGGGACTGACTGTTGAGGTGGGGATTGTAGGGCTAAACATACAAAATATGAAAACAACAGAAAAATGACAGTTATTAAACATCAAACAATTTTACAGCAGTTTTCTGTTGGTGTTGGTCGGTAAAACTATACTGATTTACAGCAACCAATAACTGGGATTCTACATAGAACAAGATTTGGGGCTAACAGTGCCCATAAAACTTTCCTCCACCATTTTATTTAGTGGCAAGGATATCTTGAAATCGTTTCCTTTAATAAAGCAACAAAACATTAGTTTTGCTTTTTACAGTTTGTCCAATATAAAACAAGTTATATCGACTTGATAATTGCATCACACTATGTCATGGATTCTTGTTTCATACCTGCACTGATTATCTTCAAAACAAACAAACAAAAAAACCCATCAAACCAAAGCAAAGCAACAACAAAAACAATGAAAAAACCCAACCCCACAGTTAGAGATAGCAACTGTGATCTAATATAAAATGAAGGCTGAAAAAAACACCAAAGAAAAAAACCAAAAGCCTGCATCACAGAATCTAACATCTCACTGTAATGAGGAATGCTTACGGACATTCGTTTATCCAGATTCCAAACTATGATCCATTGGATCACAGTAAGTGATCCGGACTTGAGATCAGCAATTTCTCACCCCAAATTCCTTCTACTCTAAACCAAAAGCACGTAGTCATATACAACCAAATTTGAGATTCAACATTTTGAAAACTCTGAGAACCACTGCTGATAGCTACTTATAACTAACAAATTAGCAACCATGTGATGCAAAAGGTCATATAGTCCACAGTAAATAAATAGATTAAGCATTATCAGTCTCATAAAAAGCATACTGTACAAACTGTTGTTAGTAGTCTTTTAATCCTCACAAAAAGAAAGCTTTTGCACTTACATTTCATCATCATATTCCTTTGGAGGTGACACTGCAATGACTAAGTCAATCCAATCCTGCAACAGAAATGAACAGGAAATGTGTGCTGCTAAACGTTCCTTTTAGAGGTGGTTAATGGACAACCACGAAATACCACACAGATGATCAGAAAGACAATCTATTCCTGGAAAGCCACAGGGAAAAGGGAACCTAAAGAGATGTCTGGTCCTCTAAAATATAGTATCAAGATAGAGCTGTTTGATTTTTATCCTAAAATTAAAGAAAAAATCTACTAGTCTTGCAATAAGCTTTAAAAAAAAAAAAAAGAAGAAGAAAATCATTCTAAGTATCATACTATATTTAGTCATTTTAGCAATTAATACAGTTCTTGTTGAGAATACATTCACTGTAGCCAAAGTACACTGTAGCTATTTGCACATTAAGAAATCAAAGATTAGATAAGCTATTATCAAATTCGGATCAGCTTCCAAATAATTTTCAATATTAAAGAGAGATTCCACAGATGAAAGTACTACAGTCACTCAGAATGTAATGTGTTTAAGTACAAATCTTGACGTGTGGCTGTCATAAACTTTTGGAGTAAATTACAGGCAAGACTGAATTTTAGAGTTGTTGTATATCCAACACACATATACATCCACAGATTTCAACTCATTTTGGTTGCATGACATACTGGTACTTTTGACATTTTGAACTTTACTACTATTGCTGTGACAACACTGCGAAAGAAAAATGCACATCACAAGAATTACAAGAGGTAGAATGGAAAAGTATTTCCATATACTTACCCCACCCATGTTCCAAGCATTTGCCAGAGTTGCTTGTGCTTCTGCCAGCCTGCAGTCAATTACTATCTTGCCATTTACAGCCAGTATTTCATCCCCTTTCACTATGCCTCCTGATGACAGACAAATAGGGCATACATACATTTTATCAAAATAATATCCGTGACAGACATTGTGTATTTATGCAGTACTGAGTATTACGATTAGTGTATTAACTAGATATAAGAGCCAACACTAAAAGTTGACATGTGTTATCTACAGGCAAAAACAAAAGGAATTAGTCGACAAATTTAGGAAGATTTTCTGTAGTAACAGTTTGCCTATCCGGGTAATCCATCCATACTCCTTATAAATCATGGTTGATTGTAGTCTGCTACCACTATTAAGAGTAGCATTACTTAAATACCTGGATGTCTTGTGTTTGTCAAGGCTTTACAGGACTGCCATTTCTCTCCAAAAGCATGTGTCATGTCTAGTTCTTTGAACTTATTTTGATTTGCTTATCTAATCTGGGACTGGATTTGTGGAGGGGAAAAGATATATGGTAAGGGGTCAGCCTCAGCTATAAAGAGAGGCCAACAGCAGTGACAAGTCAAAGAAAAACAGAGCACCTGAAAAAGAAATTAAGTGGCTGAGAGCTTTTCAGAGAAAAAGTGACTTAAACATGGCTGTGAGTGGGACGGTCATAGAAGGCAATCTAAGGAGACGTCCTGTCCGTCTACCTGTTCATCAACATGGTTCTCAGGGTAAGGATGAGAGAGACTGACCCACAGGAGCATACCCTCCAGGTATGCATGTTCTCATGGCTTTCAGAGAGCTGTCAGAAGGCCTTCAGATGGATTTTGGGAGTAAAGACAGACATTTTACAAAAGAAATTACCATTGGAAGTAACATTAAGAACTAAGCTAACCAATGTAGTACAGCTATTATCTAGTATCTGCTTTGCACATTAATGTAATTACAAATGTAATTGTTTGAGAAGTGTGAAATAATGAAGACCAAATTTAACTTTCTTTAATGAACAGAATAAGTGATTTTTTATATACAGCTAGAAAAAGGGGAATCCTTGAGATGAGAACAGCTCTACATTTTTGGTCTGTGATATTACAGTTTTTACCATGATAAAAACACAGCAAGAGTATTTCTTAAAGACAATTTATAAAATGTACATAATTGTCAGTTTAAACAGCACTATTCAAACCATGAACCTCTCTTTGCGCTGCTCTTAGACCAGAGACAGAATTGGTTGCCTTGGACAGTCTAAGTGAGCTTCTCAGTAACAGCTATAGCTCTGAAGTCAGCTAAGAAATCAGCCAGTGCAAGATGCCACTTTGCAGCAGTGCTCAAATTCCCCATTGTTACTCACCATGTTTGTCTGCAGCACCACCCTCATAGATTGCAGATACAACTATCTTTCCAACAGGAGAATCAATTCCTCCCTCGACTGCAAGGTCTAGTGATCCTTCCTATTAAACAAGAATTTTAGTACAGAAGAAGCTGTGAATTTTTGCTTAATTTTCCATTCTTCCCTGTAAACATATCTGTACATGAAATGCTTATATGAACTCTTTAAGTATCAATCAGTAAGGTAGTATTTACCTTTCTAATGCGTAAGAGGCGTACGTCCTTTCCCACGATCTGCTCTGGAGTAAACTATTAAAAGACATTGTTAGTTATTTCCACCTCGGCAACATAAAACAAGCTGATCTATATAGTTGACTACACAGGTGAAAAGGGTCTTTAGCCTCCTCTAAAATAGTCTTAGAGGAGTAGCTAGTGTTTTTTTCCAGTAAGAAAGCTCCCTTCCATAAGGTCTAGAAGAAACAAACAGACAAGGCCCAGCAAGCCAACAAGAAAGAATATTACCCCTCCTAGGCCTCATTATCAAGGATGTTTGTATTTTTCCAGTGTATATTATATTAAACTAAGATGTATGAATTCTCTCCTTACCATTGAATGTGGATCAAAGTCTTCCACATATTTCTGGAAGCCCTGTGAATAAAATAAGACAGTTGTAGAAGCACATGCATGAGCCTCATGTTTAACATACAAACTCCATTTTAGCTATTAATGAGAAAACATAATTCTGTAAGATAAGAAAAAAAGACTGCAAATGGAGAAAAGCACAGAAAGGTAGCAAATAGTCTGTCCTGACAGTCAGAAGAGATTTTAAAACCTTACAGTAAATCAGCAGTTAGAACCAGCCACACTATGGAACAATTTTGAGGAACCATTTACTATTCTACTGGTTCCTCTCTACACTGGAGGTGACGGAGCTGACCATATTTATCACAAGGGAATATGTTCTGCCATGCTCTTCTAAGTAACCTTTCTTGGGACTGTCATCATGTTGGGCACTGTTTCACACTGACAGAAGTGACACTGTGATTTGCACATCACCAGCTCTGCTCCATGAACTCTAAGTTGTAGGACCAGACTCCTTCAAACTCCTCTCCTCTTCTTCATGGCATTTCAGGCAGTTGGTTGCATATCATGAGCAAACAAAGGATAAAAACAGATTTCTTTGTATGCAGTTCAGAGTCCACATCTTATTTAGTATTTAAGTAAGAATTGGTTGCACTGCACTTGTGAACTGCTACTTTTGATGAACTAAGTATCTGCAGTTTGATCACAGGCTTTTCATCTTGTGGGGAAAAAAAAAAACAATCATTCATGATTTTAGAAAGCATATTAGTATTACAAACTCTTTTTCTAAACTGGGAGAGACATTTTACAATGATAGTTACCTAAACAACTAATAGATTGAATAGCTGAATTTGTAGAGATCTCTGGTACAATTGTTGAAGTAGACATCTATGGTCTTGGAGCAAACAACTTAGAGGAAAGGACTCCAATCTCAACCAAGTCACTAATTCATTACATAATGCAAAGCAAGTCATTGAACTCTTTGTCCCAAGTCATCCTCATGGAAAACAGATGTTGCCCTTGAAGAAAATTTTCCTGGGAAAGCCACTTTTAAGCAGGACAAAAAGTAAAACTTCACAACAAAAAAACCTACAAATGAAGAAATTACGTGATCTGGATTCAACAAATGTACAAATACAGTCATGATAAAATGAACACATCTTCTGAACTCTGAACAAGCATCATAAATTTACAGTGTAGGCAGTGCACACAACATGCAAGCAAGGGCTAATAAACCAAGCAATACTAACTGGAAACCACTGGGCTACTTCTACCTCCCACAGGTCGCAGGGGAAAGTTATGAACATCCTTGACAATACTGTCAATTACAAGAACATTAAAAGGAATAAATATCTGTAGAATACAGAAGATTAAAATATTTGTCTACACGGAAACAACTATCTGTCTGGACTTCTAGATGAAAGTTGATGCTGCTGCTTTGAGTGGGAAAATAATTTTTTTAAAAAAGCACATAAGCCAACGCTTAGTGGAGTTTCTAGCAAGTAAGAACTGATTCACATAAGGAGAAAAGAAGAATTAAAACATACTAATATTCAGTTTCAACCAACAGTCTTCAAGTTTGATTTGCTATCTCAGTCGAATCCAGTTTTTCATTCTGACTTAAGCCTTCAGCTCATGCCATCTGAAGTCACCTGAATCTTCAGCAGTGGGTCTGTTCATAGAAATTCATCTTCGCAAATGGACACTTGGAAGATCTTATAAAGTTAGCACATGTATGGCGGACATATCTTGTCTGGGGGGTTTTTCAGTGGACTAATTAAAATTTTAAATATTTGACATTTTGCCAGTATTTTACATGTTAATTTGACTGCACCTATGAGACAGCCCTAATTCATCATTTTCACAAGGATAAATAATGGTTAACCTTGAAGTTTTCAAAAAAAATCATTTTTATTTTCCTTCTTATACATTACAATTTCACTTATCTGGAAAAGGCACCTATGTAATGATTCTATGTATTAATTGACCCATGTTGAATATCAAGAAAGTTTAAAACTAAACAAAAGAAGGAAAAAGTCATGATTGATCTTCATGCTTTACCAAAGGTTCACCCTGTGAGCTTACAGCTTTGCCTCAACATTTTCATATAATGTGACAATGCATATAACTTAGCTTGAACTAGTAAAGCTGTTTTGGACAGAAAATGGCACCTTTAACAGCAACAGAGAACTTAAGCACAAAGTTCCACTTCAAAGCACGATCTATTAAAACACAGAGCAGTCAACCAAAGAGGGAGAGATGGAGGTTTCAGCACTATGGTTATTTAAAGCTGCACAGAAGGAAGGCAATAAATACAGCAATATAGTAGAAAATCCTATATAATATGAATATATATATTATATATATATCATATTTTATATATATAGTGCTATATGAATAGGTGCTTTCCACCATCAGTTCCTCTGATTTCCTACCAACAACTATGTCATGATAATAGATTTATTTGTTAAATTAAGAAAATATTTTATTACTGAAAGCATTGTAACTGGAGGCTAAAAGAGAAAAAAAAAACAGTTCTAGGAATATATTTAAAAAAATAATCACCCAATCTCAGGACATTTATCAGTATTCAACAGTCTTAAATACTGCATTATGTAAGCAGCTACAAGATAGTTCAATCTGAATCTCCTGTCTAGGCTACAGGAGCCACATGCACTCTCTGCAATCTTACCAAGGCTAGCAGTTTTCATGCACTAGTGCTGTCTTAAGTCCTCTGTTTTAGAAACTGAGCAACAGGTTTAGAAAAGAGGGTTTAAAATCTACAATCAGTCAAACAAAGTACCACACAAAACATGAAAAATGTTATTTTACTTGTTTTTTGTTAGATCTAAATGATGAATTGTAAACCACCATCCTTTTAAACATCTCTTGTGGCTGCAAAAGAAAGAACATGGCCAAACCAGATATTAACTCCTTGCTGTAGACAAATATCACCTGATAACAAGAGAAATCAATGTTTTTTGCTCTTCTTGAGACTGAATCAGACTTGCACTTTTTAGAACTCCTTCCCTGCACAACTACAAGTGAGAGAATACACATAGCAAAATGATATCAAATCATGAAAGAACTATGTAGGTAGTGCACATTTTCATGTCCCAAAACTGTTGAGCACCTTCCCAGCCACTTAAAAACAAGAAATAATTATTTTTGTTAGATGATTTTGCTGTAACTATGGCCAACAACTGAAATTTCTGACTATTACGTCTTTGCTGCTGCACCCTATACACTTTAGCTGCAGTCCTGCAGAATCAAGATTCACATCTTGCAAGGAAAGCTTAAGTATTAACTGTTCCTTTCAGAAACTGTATATTGAACCACAGTGAAGTTCAGGAGAGAAATCATTCACAATTTCATCAAAGCCTTTTAACACACGAACAGATGTTTGTGATAGCTGGGAGAGAAGACTAGTATCCATGTTGGTTTTGCCCCTCTGAAAACTCTACCACTGAATCATAGCCATCCTCCCCTGTTCTCTGAGTCCAAACTTGACTAGCCTTGCCATGAGTGTATTTCAATTCACTCCACCACTATGGAGCCACACAGTTGAAACTGCTTTTGGTCCAGAGAGCTCTGTGCATTCAAGGCCACATTCAGTGTTTAATTCCCATCCATCGCCTCCCTATTTATAAGTGAAAATAATTTCATTTTCATGAAACGTTAAAAAACCTGGAAATTCTAGCCTGAATTCAGTTACTATGAAGACTTAAGTAACAACAGTCTTCAAAGCTCCTGGATAACAGGAAGGTTTTACCCATTCTTGCATATACATACATGTATAGAGACATACACACACATACATGCTATATATACAATCATTACTTACATAAAAAAAATTATGCATATACATATATGCATGGATCCTATTCACAACATATAAGACAGAGTCCATGCAAGTCTTATTCTACATACTACTACTGTGGCTTCAAATGCAGCCAGGATGAATAACTCTTACAGCATTAAGATATAAATGGAGCAAAGAGGTAACTAGTCTACAAAAACACTTCACAGACAGATGTTTTTCTCAAAGTTCTATTAGAATATTACTCTCAATGAAACTGTGATCTTCCAACTAATGTAAGGCAGTTGAAGAATCAAGATTATTGATATCTGAAACATTTTAGTACTCTTGTGGTCTGGACAGTGTGCATAGATGCATAACAAATGGTAAGAAATTTCCCTATGAAAATGAATCCTATTGCCAGTTTGTCACACTAATTGTAAGCAGTGACAACAAAGTAATATTTTCTATTTGTATCAAGACTTCCTCATCACACACAAGGGTATTACCAAATTTTCATACTATTTAATATTTCCGTATCAGGTATTTATTTTTCAACTTTTGATTGTATTCACTTTAGATTATGATTTTTACTCTTTTTAATCCTTTTTAATGGAATTTCAAGAAGTGATGAATTTCTAAACATAACTAAAATGGAAGTTCCTTGCATAGAACTGTAGAAAATAACTATGCTAGAATGATTTTTATCTTTTTTTCAAGCTCATCCATCTGCCTTATCTTCAGCAACTTACAAAACCTGCTTTAAGTTTTCATTTCAATCTATTTATAATAGAGAAGTTTCACAGCAAATATGTCTATAGGAGAGTTGATTTGATAGCATGTGAATCTTTTCAAACTGTAATTGGGAAAATAGAGGAACAATTGTGGAAGAAAGTAACAGAAAAATCCATCCCATTGTCACAAAATACAGCTACGAATGGTGTGCATGTCATTTATTGTCAGATACAGCATAAGCTTTTAATTAAATGAATGGAATGCAAATGTGATGATTTGCACTACGTGGAAAGCTCACAATACAATATACTGCCCTGCTCTTGTAACTGTGAACATATACATACACATGTCTACACACATACATATATAATTAACACATAACACAAATGGTAACAAAACAAGCCAAAATTATCCTCAAGAATAATGTTATAACTACTAATTTCTCCATCAGTTATCTTAGATGAAATTTCTGGGCTGACATGTGGGAGTTATTACTTGCCATAACAATATTTCCATCTATGCAGAAAGCCATAGCTTACCTTCCCTCATAAAACAGTTCTTGAAGATGCTATATGTTTGGTCAATAATATTTACCCTCAGGGTTTCCTCTTCATTTACATTTGAAACAGATATTGATAAAATAAAAAAAGTACCTAACTGTAAATAGACTTTGCAATAACAGTGCACCACCCATTTATTGATATCTAAGATACAAAGATTGTTTTCTCTCTGCCAACAAAAGAATGAGATGCATAGGTACATTTCAAGTATATTTATGACTATTTACAGAAGAAAAAAAGCAGTATAATAAACTTTTTACTATTTCATTTCTGTTAAAAGGACCCATGAATTATGAAAATGCACAAACAAGTGAAAAAATAACATCTGCAGACTCTCCTATAGAGATTAAGGTCTATATTACTCTGTAATTCTACACACCAGTACAAAAACTGCCATTAATGTGACTCTTAGATTATGAACAACTGGAAAAATATCCTTTTGTACTTACCATAAGTGAATATTTGAAAGTCTATATGACTTTTACTTAGCAGACAATGAGACAAGCACTGCTTCTTTGAGAAGAAATCAACAACAAATCCCACAGTACTGTAACAGTCACAAGAAAATAAAAGCTTTAAAAGGCTTACCAGGGCCTCTGATTTGATAGTTGGCCTGACCGTAAGGTTTGGGTCAGGATGGAGCATGACTGGTTTAGAGATTATTGGTACCCCTGGATGTCGTTGGGTAGGTGGACTTGGAGCAAATTGCTATGGGGGTTAATTTAAGATAATTACAATTTACAGCATAATTTATTATAAACCATAATTTCACTAAATACTCCAACATAGTTTATGGCAATGAATTTAATGATACTAATAGAACAAAAGTCTTACACAAATATTCTAAATGAGATACTGTCAAAGTTAACAAATGAAAGCACAATTTCTCTTAAATACAAACAACAACTTTCTCCCTTAACCTTTGGCTTCACCAGCAAGATTATGGAAAAATCTCATCTCTGCTTCTGGCATTCATCCCATTACAGCAATGAAATGAATGAGAAACTACAGAAAAAATGCTAAAATTGAATGCAAGAAGATAGCGAACTTGAAAAGAAATTTTAACCAATCAGTGGCTAAATGGATTTACACAAGATGAAATTCAATAGGACTGTAGTGATTACACCTCCACATAAATAACTTCAAGATAACTCAGAATCAAGAACAAAAGTTAGCTATGCTAACTACCTTCCCTCGACTCTACAAAGTACAGATATCCAGAGGCATTTGAAATCTAATCATCCAGCACGTACTAGCTATGTGATTGATTCCACACTTCTTACTCAGTCAAAACTCCTACTGACGTCAAGTGTAGCTGTGCTCAAGTAAAAAGTTCAAAACCGAGCCCTGTGGGTTTAGTTTCTGACTTAACCCCAGCAACTCTCAGGACAGTCTTGTCAATGTTTCTCATCAGAAACGTGGTCTATTCCAGATATTATTCACATGGTACATGCTGTATCTTCTAAAATTATTTGAATTGCTTCCAGTAGATTGTTTTATTTATTTATAGAATTTTTGGAACCAGTTCTTTGGAAGTCCCTCAGTTCATATAGACATCCCTCAATTAATATTGTTTCCACCCCATAAAATATATTATTACTTTCTGATTTCAGTGAGAAAGTTCACAGATAAACTTTGTTAAAGTCACACTGGAGCTGAATAATTTCTCCTGGAGTTGCGCAACATGAAGAGTGCCTCAGAATGGGGAAAACTGACATCTAGCCATCCTAAATGAAAATCAGTGCAAACACCGATGAAATAAATGCAGATCTTCTCATGAAGAAGAAAAAAAGAGCTCACTTTGTAGCATGTAGCCATGATGTTTAAAACACAGCTCAGTCCCAGCTCTTTGTCTTGGCAGAAAAGCACTCTTGCATGGTCAGTAATGTAGAGACTTCGCATGGAACACGCAAACTTTGACTGAATATGGTTGAAGGTTTGAAATATGAAGTCTTCAGATCATTACAAGTCACTATCACTACTTGGCATTAGGTATCTTGTAACACAGGATATAGATGTATGACTGCAAGTGCCAAATTTGAAATAAATCAGCCATGCAGAGTGAGACCCTTAACCTCTCCTTTACGTTACCATTACATGGGAAGTTCATAAAACTACATTCATTATTAACAACACACGAACATACCAGCGGACTGCTTGACACGGCAGACACTTTGCCAACATGGGAGGTGTTTCTTACAACCTAAACAGTAGCAGACTTAGTACTGGGTTCGGGTAAAAATATACAGTTGCTAATAATCTTATGAAAGAGATCCTTTTATCCCAGGTGTTTTAATAGCTAGTTGCCAAGAACATACTTGACAGGAAACTTCATTCTTTTTGTCAGGTCTTTGTTAAGAGCTGAATTTGAAATACAATGATCTAGAGTGAAAAATAGCACCAAAGAAAAGATTTACAGTTTTGAATAAAATGAGAAAAATATCCTTGGTAGACAACACGAAGTCTTCCTTAATTTTTGCTTTGGTTGGTGAAAATGCAAGATGTTTCATTATTGAAATCAAACAAAATGTTTTTGCTTTCCTTGCAGCGTTTTTAAAGAGGCAAGGGAAGCTGTCCACCTTCTGATTTTACTATCATGTCTGATACCACATTAGCAATACTAATTACTGCTAATACTGGTTATAAACAAAGCAGCTCTGGTTCAGTATTAGTACTTTATTAAGAGCTTAGTTCTTTCCTTGTATACACTGCTAATTATATTTAGTGAGAATTAGCCTACCATTACTGCAGGCAAGTTAATTTTTGTTGTTCTTGCCAGCTGTATTTTTCTTTAATTACTAACCTTTTGCTCAAAGACATCTGGCAGTGAATAACTACCAGAAACATATATTGGAATATGTGAGTTTGAGGTTAGATCCAGTTGGGAAACTCATGTGTTATCTTTAAAAATCAGACCCGTAGCATTAGATGCCCACGCTCTTATTTGTGGACAACAAGGAACACTTGTTATCCATAAGAACATACGACATCTCCACTTCAACGGATCTAGCATATTCTTGGCACTTCAAACTTGTAACCCACATAAGAGGAAACACTATAAGAAGAATGAAATATACATATAAGAATAATGAAATATACATAGTTCGCATTAAGGCAGTTATTCACATAAAAATAATCTGCCAGTTTCCCCCAAGAAGTGATAAACTTGCATATCCTTTTTTACTTTAACCAAAGTCACGCAAAAGCAAAAGTCTAGTATTTCCAAGTAAAAATGCAAGAAAAAAAAAAAAACAAGCAAAGAAACACACACAATAGTGCAATCAATAAATCCATGCAGGAAAAATAACATGTAGGAGAGACGTGACCATACAGTGCCCTCTTTTGCTTTGAAACAAACAATAATATTTTGGTACACAAACTGGAGTACACAAATCCCATCACAGTGCAAGAGAAAGTGCAATGCAGCAGCTGCCATTTCTCTCCTAGAATGAGATCTGGCACAAATTTCTTATATATGTGATCCTCTTTTAGACTGAGATTATAATAAAGTTGGAATATTTTCTGAAGAAGAAATCTCTAGCTCTTTTGTGTCAGTAAAAAGTCAGCAAACATGATTTACAGAAAGATCACCAACTCTTGTTCATTTAAAATTGCTTTACTGATAGATTATGCTGTGTTAAGGTTTTAAAAGTTGGGCCTTCTGATTTCAAACTAATTCTCTTCTTCCAGTCTTCGCAGCTAACAAACAAAAGACTTAAAGACTTTCAGAGCAGTGATTTTCACTACATAGATAATTTTTCTCTTGACTTGAATTAAATTTGCTGCCTGACATTTTCTTTTTTAAACGTTCACATCCAAATATCTTTTTAACTACTACATTCTGCCCAACATATTTGCATGTGATGGGTCTGCAACACATGCAGGAAGGATAGAGCAAAACCCTCTAGGCTTAAATTACGAGAATAAATAATGAAACAACCTCTGGACTGCATTCACTAACTATCAAATAATGGAAACATTTCATTTATTTTAATGTTACAAATAGTAGACTAGCAGATCCAATAGATGAAGTGGGTAATGGAACCAGGGAGAGAGGCCAAGCAGGGGAATGGTAGAGGCACATGCATCCAAACAGATAATGAAGTCACCTGGGAAGCTGGTGATACTGTTAGGACTGGACCTTTGGAAAGTGGAACATTCAATACAGGAAGTGGATGAGCTGATGACACTGGAGTAACAGTAAGTGGTGGTGGTGGTGGTGGTGGAAGTGGTGCCACATGTTTCTCAACTTCATCTAAGTTTATATCATCAAGATCTGTGGTATGAAGCTGTAAGCCACCGGCAAACCGCCTCACTGATGTGGCAGAGGAAGAAGCGGAAGGACGTCCACTTGCCAACTATGCATGAGAGAACAAAAATCTGCCTTACCTTACCATATCTACAACAGCTCTGATGAAATTAATGGCAAATCCTGTACCGTCACCCAATCTAACTGCTCCTGCTCTGAAATCTCCTGGCTTCTTGCACGCAGAATATCCATGAAGTGTTTCTATGCAAGCTTCTTTACATATCAAAGGAAAGCAACTTAAGACATCCCTCAAGTTTCAAGTCATTAAAAAAAAAAAAAGGGGAGGGAAGAAAACAATTTGCACCAGATCAGATCATAATGGAGAAGGGGGAAGTAAATGTAAGCAGCTATCAAAACAAAACAGCTTTGGGTTCCATGAAATCCAAATCTTCAGGAAGCTCTGGACTTTATAATTTCTACTGATCAACACAAGACTATTCAGATTGTGGAATCTGCAAGAATAAGTCACTCACGTCCCAGAAAGTTAGGAGAAAGTGTTTACTTTCTCCTTGTATTGTATGTATGTATTCTACTTGTATGAGGAAAGATTGCATATATGCTGTTAGAGTTACTAACATTTTGTTTAGACATTTATCAGTGGTATGATTTAAATATGTAATAAACTCCAGTTGATAGATGCAACTTAGGAAATATTAACGAGAGATAACCTGTTCTACAGACACATGCATCTTAGTCTAATCTGACACCATTTTCCCCAAATGGATTTCTGTTGACGTTGAGATCTCATGTGCCGTAATCACTTTCTGGTACTAAAAAAGCATACACATTTCTTCCCAAGTAAAACAAATCTTGGTTGCTCTTGTACCCAAGCAGCAGTTCAGGCCCGTAGTACCTGAATATAGTTCAGCTGCATCTATTCCTCAGCACTCCATCTTTACATTTTATATGAGTGCAACTGCTTAAGTAGTTTTGCAGAAGTACTACAATAGACTAATTATAGGTAATGTAGAAGAATTGGTGGTGCAAATACAGAGTATTTGTCTCAAATGAGAGTAGAGCTCTGCAACAATGACTTTAGTTCATACTGTTCCCTCCTACTTTCCTAAAAGAGAGACAGAAATGTGGTAGAACCCACAAAGCTAAAGAAAACTTAGTGTAATCATTCCACCATTCTGGAGACCTGCACCAAAGAACAAAGTGGATCCAAACCTATGAGTAGGAAGAATAGAAGACAAGCTGTTTTTTTCAGGGCTGCTGCATATTGACCTGTACAAAATTTGACTAAGAGAGTTCCCCAAGAGTCCCCTTTGTGGTTGTGTGGTTGCAATTGCTTGGGGTCCCAGAGGAATTCAGTAGATTGCAGTGTTCCTCCTGAAAGCAGCTGTGCTTGGAAGAAAGCCACACAGCAGGATGGTGGGAAAGCTCTCTCCACGCATAGAAGCACGTAGCTAAGGCACAATCACTGTCTGCAACTTTCTTCATCCAGGGGGACTACTTAAAACAGAGGATATGATTATTTGGGAGGTTTTTTCTTTTGTCAGTTTCTTAATGTCACTTAGTTACTTGCAATTAGTACTTGAATTGTGATTACAATTCAAGCAGACATTAAAAAGATGATTAGTGATGCTCTTATTTGTATAGAATATTGAAAAATACAGCTGGATATTCTACTCTCACTTAGTAAATTTTATTAGCAGCATGTTCTGCCTATCCCAAAAAGTGCTCACAAACCAATTAAGGTATTCTGTAGCAATAGCATAGTGAAGTGGACAAACCAGAAATATTAACATTGACCTTTAACAGATGACATCATCTCTATCAACTATGGAAACCTAAATGCTATAGAATCATAGAGTCATGAAGGTTGGAAAAGACCTCCAAGATCATCTAGTCTAACCATCTGATTTACATTGCCATTCACCAACTGCTGATGGTTTTCTTCTTCTTTCCTTTTTCCTTTATTAGGATGAAGGCTGAGAAGGAAAGAACAAGACAATTTTTTTTTCTCTATTACATCTGGTAAAAGCTGTTGTTTTTAGGAGAAAACCAGTGAGTAATTTTGAGATCGTGCAGCATATAGAAAAGCCAACATTTTACCTCAGGAGATTCATTTTCCACAGAGGAAATCTGTTCTAACCGTGTCTGACAAAGTCTTTCCACCCAATGCTGCACTTTTTCTGATTCTTCCAGATCTTCACGTTCTGTTTCAGATACCTTCAGCATATCACCAGTTTATTTAAAAAAAAGATTGGAGATATAGTTACAGTACAAAGGCTTCAAACTTAGGATATGTCATTTAGATTAATTTTACAACTAACTGTGCTTTTGAGAAGAACTTCCTATTCTGCTGTCTTCCATTAAACTCATCACTAAATGTGGACGCTACATAAATGCAGAGTTTTTGCCTCATTTGAACAAAGGTTGACTGTAGCAACAAGCAAACTCAGAAACAGAGGTTTGTAGTGAAATGTAATTCATTTTTAAACTTCGTTATCTTTGACAAACAAGTGCCCTATTCAGATATTTCCAGAAAATTCACCTCATTTTCCTCCAATCTAATTTTGCACCTGATAGAAGAATACAACATACCTCCTGCACAAGACGATTTATTTTCAGTTGTTTTTCTTTCTCCAGCATTCCTTCTTTCTCTTTGGCAAGTCTTTGCTCAAATTCCATTTCCTTTTTATTCTTCTTCTGTTCACAGAAACTGTCACTTTTTGACTTCTTTCTCTCCTTTCCTTTCTGGGAATTATTATTATTTTTTAAGCTAGATTTTTACATAAGCTAAAAACATGGCAAACTTCAAGCTCAGTACATGAGTGCCTGCCTTGAAAATTGAAGTATAGTGCAAGTATGGAACCAGTCTTTCAGATGCAATTCTTAACTGCATTTCCTCAGCAATTTAATAGAAATTCAACCTCTTTTGGAGTGCCTGTACACAGCCATTTAGTTTATAGAAAATTTGAGAGTTCAGCTTACTCCTCTGCAAAGCTACAGCTGTAGAGCAGATAGGTCCATTACAAAACTTTGAATAGTCAAACACTTTTGATTAGTTCTCTGTAGTTAGCTTGGTTTGGTTAGTTATCATCTCTCTTCATTTTTTTTTTACATCAGTAAAAGACTGACTGCTTTCAGACGCTCATGTACACATAGATACGAACACTCCGCTAAAAAAAAAAAAAGCTTCATATATACATCCTAAACACACCGTTGCATGCCTTAATACAAACAAGCACCTATAAAGGAGAGGCTTAGATCAATAGAGAAACTAAACTGCTCTCGGGAAAGAATTCTAGATCATGAAGACCAGACCCTACCACCAGCAGCAAAAACTAGCTTTTGCATGAAATACCGTACATAATAATTCTAAAATGTTGCAGGCACAATGCAACCAAAGGGCAAGATTCTTCATAGTCTTTTAGAAGCCTATGATCCTGTTGGATGAGTTCAGTGGTAAGTTGACTACTGCTCTGCGGTTAAGTGTAGTTACTGTTGGAAAACCAATAATCTTTAGAGATAAAAAAGAAAAGAAAACTGCAAAACAACCTTAAGTCAAACATCTAGCTTCTCATGTTTTAACAACATTCTGTTGGCATGTTTTATGCAGGGCTAGTTAGTTTAATAACAATTTTTGATAAAATTTTATCCTCTAATAAATTAGAAGATACATTAAGTGCTATTTATGAAATGTAGTATCTGGAAGGTGGTAGTCAACCTACCAGATATCAACATTTGAAAAATTACTGAATCTAAAGGCACACTAAGCAGTATGAATGCCAAAGAGTTTCAAAATATCAACATCTGAGACAATCTTAGCTGCATTTATTGCTTTCAGATACAACAAGATGAGTCATCTCTTCTGTCCTTTTTCCCCATGGATTCAGTTAATTTCCTATTAAAGATATTTTAAGTACAGAGTGAAATTTTGTTTTTAGTGCACACACAGGAAATCCATTTGCAATTTTCAGCAGGAAGAAAATTTACCATTTGAATATTTAAATGTTTTTCTAAAAGCAAAAGGATAAGGTACTTTCAAGTTTTAGTCTACATTGCGTAGCAGAGTTCAACAGGAACTGAGCTGAATCTTTATTAATATATGAGAAGGTATTTTGAGACTCTGTAAATTATCTTGGTCAGCAGCCATAGCAAAAATCCTGTTTGTGTGAAGAGGCTGAATTGTCATAACGTATTTATCTTTGTCAGATAATCCTAACCATACTGGATTTTATGTGTTTCAGATCCAAGATGATTTACAGTCACTAGCAATATGAAATGGCATCAGAGTACACTGTCATTTCCTTATTCTTTATTAAGATCAAAACCACTGCCATTTCTTACCCTCCTACAAGGCTAAAATAATAGTCATAAATGATGATTCAAATACTTCCTCTGTCCTCCTCAAAAACTTTGAGTTCTTCGGAGAGAGATCTATGAGCCGTCTTTGACAGTTTGTCCTACCCCAGTAAATTACCATCGGCCATCACAGGAAACAAACAACACTGAAACCTATGATATAACTAAGATATATTGAAAGAAACAGGGAGAACAAAGCAATAGCAGGAATAAAGTACTACTTGGAACTGCAGTAATGTTTTAGCTGTGACTCTACAGATTTAAGAAGTATTCCATCATACTTAAAGATTTTCTGGTATTTTTCCTCTCTGCGTGTGATTCACACAAGCCTTTTGCCTTCAGCACTCTCAATGGGAGATTTGCAGAAGTTTAACTGGAAACTGCACACATGACTTCCATTGAATTTTTGCATCTTCAAAAGCTTTTATTATTTATGGAGTTATTTATTATTTTGAGGACTTTTGGATCTGTGCTGAACAGCTTCTGCAAAGTATACACTCAATTCCCACTGCAGCTGGCAGGTTTTGAGAAGTTCTAAATGTTCAAAAGAATGCATTCATAGGCAGATATATCTGAAAAGCATCTTAATTTCTATGTGATAAATGAAGTGGAAGAGAAGAAAAGAGAGGAATTAAAATTCAAATGCACAGCAAACAAGCTCACTTATCACACTTTGTACCTTGCGGATTGTGGGAAATTTTCCTTCATACCGATAAAACCATCCAAAAGCTACAAAAAGGTAAAGGAAAAGTTGTTGTTTTAAGAAAAGTTGATGCCTAGTTCAGATCGATCCCTGTTGATGCATATAACTGGTTAAAATTTATTTGGAGGCACAACGAATGTTCAATGTTATACAACAAGTACTTAAACCACTTCTTCATTAATTCTGCTAGCACATTTAATCACAAACATCCCTTATTTCGCTGATACACATTTTATGTTAAGCAAAGCAAATGCAACAGTTAACTACTATGCAGAACCCTATCCAGAATGCCATATGCATTGCTGAGATTTCTATAGTCAAAGAACAAACCATAGTTAGTTAGTTACACAAACCATAACAAGCATTATCAAAATGAAAAAATAATCAAATTATTTCAAGCTTGCAGAACACATTGATGCTTAGGGTGACAAGAAAAGCTGTTTCCCACAGTGAACTATGTACATACAGGTGCATAAACATTAAAAAAAAGTGGAGTAAAATCAGACAAAATAATCTAGTATTATAATTTTCCATAATAAACACTGACAATACACAGAGTTCAATATAATCCATGTTTCTGTAGGATTTACATGTTTAGTATTCTTGTTGAAGTATCTTTAGAAAGCAGTGACAACAGCAGTATCATAACCTTTCATCATACCAAAGGACAACATATATTACTCTAGCAAAACCAGATCATAGTTCAGTGTCAAGAGTGACTGTCAGAAGGAAGAGAAACATAGAAAGGATCTGAATCAGGATAGGAAGTTAAGGCTGGATGGCAAACCTGTTTGTCCTGCTTCATGATCACTTCATCCATGTCATCTGTTTCAAGTTGGTCATGTGCAACTCCCTCTAAATCTACTAGAGAAACAAAGGATGAAGGGAATGAGGAGACAGAAAGTCAACTGGAGATCCCATGAAATAAAGAGACCAGCAATGGGTGACTAGTTTTCATGAATTAAAAAGAAATTAGCAATGACATATCTTGCCTCAAAAAAAAAAAAAAAAAAAAAAAAAGGAATGATTGCAGTCCTGCTCAGATCAAATCCTAACTTCCTCTAACTTCAAAAAGCAGTTAGGATTTACACGTGGCCAATTAGACTGCTCTGCAATAAAGATGAATGTGCAGAAGTCAGCGACTTTTCCTATTAAGCCATCAGACGTCCTGAGATGTCTGGCTTCAGAAACAGATAACAGCCTTCTGTTGCACTGCCAATATGGCAAACACTGTACAGAGAGAACACTGTCCGGAAGAGTCAGAAAACTAAATGGATAAAACATTTCCCCTAGCTCAGTTTCTTACCCATGAAAAGAAAACTGACTTGCCCACTCATTAAAAAAATAATGTGATTGCTTTAGGAAATGACCCAGGTTTCCCTTAAATTATGTAACGCCTGCTCCATAAGCACTGCCCACCACTTACTTTGTCTATTACCATTTCAGTACACTCTCTGGTCATCGTCTATAGCTTCCAACTTAGCTTCTTAACTGCAAATTAAACTCCAAGCACCTTAAATTCCTTTGGACAACTTAACACCTCAGTGTAATTCCTCACTGAAAAGTTGCAGTGTACAAAAAAAATCCCCCCTCAATCTCTCAAATAATTTTGATGCAGATTGCTCAGTGATATCAAATCAGGCTCTGCAGACTATTTGTTACAGTTGTTGCAATAGACGAAAAAAGACATGAAAAGGAGGGCTGGGAAGGAAATGAAAGATTAACAACAGGATCCGTGAAGGAAGGTGACAATAAGATGGGAACAGAAAAAGACAGTAAGTCAAGTGTGTTTCAGAATCTACAGGTTATAAAAAACAGGAAAAAAAAAGCAGGATTTCTTTCTCCCACTAATAGATGGCCTAATAAAGATGTTAACACATCTGCTACACATACCAGCTCACAGACAAATGCATGGATTTCACAAATGCTTAGAAGTATCCTTGCTTCCCAAAGGATTATGTCACTGGGAATTGGAAATTCTGATTTCTTCAGTAGATGCTTACATCCATACAAGCTCTTAGCATGCATGATCACAGACAGGTGCAACAACAATTTTTGTATGAACTCCAAACATTGTTATGCCATTATTTCATTTTCAATACAGTAATCAAAGGAGCTCAAAGTGAGGAAGATGATATAGGAAATAATTCAGCCTTAAAATGAATAAAGGAGGTCTGAAAGTCATAATAGTAAGAAGTTGATTTGTTAAAAGAGCTGGGAAAACCACTTAAGATCATAGATTAAGAAGTGTTTGATTTTTTTCTTTTATCCAGTGCTTTTTACTGTCATCATGCAGTAATAGCTTTTGTTGCAGTTTTGTTGCACTTAATATATTAAATTGCTTACTCAATTGTTTACTTAAAGGTTATAATTAAATATTGACTCTTACAACACAACTTGTAGTTCAGTACAAGAAGTGAGGATTTTTTTTATTTTTTCAGGCAATGGGAAACACATGGCCTCATGCTGAGTGAGAATGGGAGATGCTAAGAATGGGCTCAGTCACTTCCTCCTTGTAAAAGAGAAGTGAGGGAGCTGTAAGACTTCCCTGTGTTGCAAGTCTGACAAAATAAAAGACAATCAGGTCCTGCTGAAAAGAGGACAGAAAAGATATCTAGAATTTTATGAAAGCTAAACATTGCATTCATTTCTTTCAAGCCAAAAGTAGTGTTACAAGACAAAATACACAAAACTTATCTCCATCCTTCATAATACATCAATTAAGTAATTAACATAATTCTTTAGTTAGGAGCAAGGGAGAAGAAAAAGGAAACGTTAGAAAGAGCAAACAAAGAACATTCATTCACTCCAACTCAAACTGCAAATCTTGTATTAGTTTTGTGTTTTCAAAGTTTACCTCCCAAGGCCTCTCACTAAAAAAAAATGTTAAATTACTTACTGATATGATTAATATAGAAAGTCAAAACTATTCCCAAATGGGAAAAAAGAATAGAAACATTTGTCCCTTACCCCTTCTTACCTTGCTTTTCAGAAGTAACAAACCTATGACTTCTTACAAAAGGAAGAAAACTATAACTTACTATAAATAAATTATCATCTTCATTGAAGTAAAAACGCTTATATGTATGTAATTCAGCATTTCATTTTTGGCTTACGTACATGGATGTACAGTCACATATATAAAAAAATATAAACACACTATTTTCATTTGGACAAACAATGGAAACCACATGTCCACTGATTGAAGAACACCTCCATTAGAAGTTTGACAAGTGAAACACAAACAAAAACAACAAGGAATGCAATGTATCTGAACTCAAATTAAAGAGATCATGCTTCAAGCAGTGATTTCTTAGTTAATTTTTTTTTTTCTCCCTGCAGCTGATTGTAAAAAAAACATGATTGATTGAGTGGTTGTAGCATTTGTGAGCTGGGTACCTCCTAAGAGCCATTAAATAGAATTTTCACATGGTCCCAGTCTTCTGAAAAATCAAACTGATCACTAACACAGCTTAGACATACAATATGTTCCATACAACTTGATGTGTCTGAAACAAAAAAAGTTATGAAGGAATCAGACTGAAATCAATTACTTACTTTTGTGTTTAGAACGAGGAGCAGAGTGCACTTCTGCAGTTACAGTTTTTAGAGGTTTGGGAGGCTCTTTAGGCCCCCAGTCTTCTTCCCACTCCTTTTTAAATTTCTCTTCCTCTGCTGTTATCCTATATGGAAATAAAATGCAGCAATGAATACAAAGTATAAAAATAATGACACAGACATAAATTCATTAGAATTGTTTACTCTGCAGTATGTTTTCACTTGTTTGTTTTCCATTAAAATAATGCATCATAAAATGCCTCTTCCACCAAACCAAAATCCTTTCAGTGATTTAAGAGTCATTTTTTGAAGAACCTAATGACTTCTTTCTAATTTTCAGGAAATATGTTCAAAAACTAAATGAGTATTTATTTATACACCCCAACATTACAGATGGGAAAAAAAAAAGCTATTTTAAATGTTATCTATTAATGGTCTTTGATACCTCAATGGCTATTAGGATAACTTGTAAACTTTATGTAAAATACTCTGATTTTCATATTAAGTTGTATATATACACACATATAAACAAATTCACAAATTTTAAGCCAAGAGGGATACACAACAATACTATCACCTTAACTGAAGTTGCCAACTGTTTCTCATTTTTTTTTCCACTTTAAAATTTGAAGTATATATTAGAAAAATAGCCACTATTAACTCAAATATGAAGTGTAAAAGTATCTACAACATGCCTAGAGTCAAAAGCTTCAGTTGTAAATTTTTGTTTGTGTCTTATTTCTATTTTGGTGATTGCTTCCTAAAGACATAGTTCTAGGCTACACTAAAAAAGATGACTCATTTGGCAGTGAAATGTAAATATTGTTGAGACACAAAACACACCAAAGTCAGTATTTTAGAAAAAGAGTCACACCGCAGGAAAAAACAATTCATAAAACAAGGAAAAAACCTAGAAAGGCACCACCATCAGTAAAGTGACACTTTGAAGGAAAATTCTGAAAATCCCACATCACAACAGTACTACCACATAACCTAATAAATTCTAGTTTCATATACAATGCCTTGAAGTGGCCTAAGATCTATTCTTGGCTCTAGCCTGTCTTGAACTGGTAAATTGACAAACAGTGCCAAAATTTACTAGATCTTATATGATACTATTTGCACTTGGATTTTCTTGCGAATCCCAAATTTAGCTAAGATAAATTTAAAACATATCCACATGGCCAAAGCACTATTTAATCTGCACTGGAAGTCAGTGTTTAAAATTGGAAGCACAGTCAGCAGCAAGGCACATTGAAAAGAATGTTTAAACTTGTTATTATATTTAATTAAAAAAAAATCTATGGTGTTACAGTGTAACTTGAAGTATACTGAGAATTAATGACCTTCGTCATTTAGGCATATCTGACTTCTTTTCTTAAAATTCATGTTTTCCAGCTCTTCAGTCATTCTTCTGTTTCTTCCTTGATCTATTTCATTGCAACATTCATTTCTTCCTTTCCATTAAAATTAAACATGAGAAGCAGAATAATCAAGTTCTGAGACACAAATTCTTTTATCTGGTGTTATGTACGTACCCATTCAACACATATTTTATAACATATTTTTAAAATGAACATTCAACTTGAAGTTTACGTTATTTATTATCAACATAACACTTGTGTTTTCCAGGTGCTGCTTTTCAGTTTCCCATTCTGCAACTCTGTGGTGCTCTTACTGAGATGCATGGGATACTACACTTCACTAAATATACAATTTTATTAGAAAAGAATGGTTTTGGTCAGATCTAATGCATAATAATCCTTTTTTTTTTTCTTTTTTTTTTTTTTTCTTCCAGACAGCATATTGCCTCTGTAGGTTGTTACTTACTGCTCAATTTCTCTGCGGTATCTCTCTTCTTCCTCTGCAGCCTTCTGGGAGATTTCCATTTTTCTTCTATAACAGGAATTAGGACACCGTGATAAAAATAGTATTTTCTGCACAAAATGTGTCAGCATATAGTTACTGAAATATATGGTCAGCAAATACACACACATAGGGAAAAAATGTTGGTTTTCTTTTTTTATGAAGTCTTTAAGATATCAAGGGTTCAACATACTTTTGTTGGAACTTTGAGGACATTCATGACCATGTGCATAGCAAGGACACATCATCTAACTCTCTATCTCCTTCTGAGACAGTACTATAGCATGTTATTCTAAGAGTACGAATTTGTTACCATCCTACTAAAAATCATAGAGAAGAGAACGGCACCAAGAAAATGCCCAATACTCCAAGCATTCAGAGTATGACAGTTGGGGAACAAAGTAACCCTGTAACTCAGTACACGTATTTGAACGATGCTGGTTTTGAAAACCCAAAACATCAGTGGAATAAGGATTCATGAATAGAGACTCCATAAGATCAATTTCAGCTGGGAATCTTCTTATAATTATTCCTATCTTACTTGCCCTCTTCAAATCCAAGCTAAAATTTTTCAGACCCTCCTGAACAGATTCCTTACAATCTCTCTTTCTCTTGCTGCTCTTTGATGATTTTGTTAGTCTCCAGTGCAAGTCGCTTCTGATGCATTAACTCCTGGCGTTCCTGCTCACGAAGATGTGCTTCTCTCTGTCTCTCTTCTTCAGTCATGAATAGTTCCTTTCCCTGCAATCAGCACCCCAACACAAATCAGTCACTTGAGAGTCTCACAAATGCAATTTTCCTAGGAAATAATTCAGAACTGCTTATGCAACACATAAGCACATTTGCCATTACTTTCAGTCAAGAATGCTTTGTGAAAGACTAAAGGATCCGCCACTTCATTCCAAAGAAATACTCCAGTTATGGAGTAATGGATAATGTGCTAAACATATGCGACTACTCTGCAGCAGTAGTGCAGCAGTCACGCCCAACTCCCATTCAATACATCCTCCAGAACGTACTGAGCAATGTGAACAAGGCATCAAATGAATCCAATGATAAAGACAATCACACAGTCATTGTCTTTTAACATTCTTGTGTCTGGCTGCTACAGTATACCATAAAGCAGGGAATGTGGTTTGCAAGAGATTGTGTTAGCTGATGTATTTCAGCTGGTTTTATTCCTATTTGATTTGCTTTACAGTTAAGAACACAGGAAATACTGATCAAGAAAGGTGTATCAGTGGTGCTGATTGTGGAACACGTTGAAAATATTTAGTTATTACTGAAATTGAAATTGCATTAATTATCAATGCATAAATTTTCAAAATTCTGTGGCTTTAAAGCTCATGGACAAAAACAGGCATTGAAGAATGCCTTTATGCCATGGTCTTTACTTAACCAGAAAAGAGGATTAAAGAAACAAAGTTTAGCTATTGCAATTTCTTCTTCGATACAGAAACATATACCAAGGAAAGGAGAAATAAATGAGGTGAAGTACAGTGGAGTTGAAGAGTTCCACAGCAAAAATTTTAATGAGGCCAATGGTGCACACACTTTTTCTAACAGCTTGTAGTATCTCTTGGAACTGAAATCCTTTGGATGTTCATTAGGAGATGATTAATCAGTTAGCCTGGAGCATTTCTTTAAACAATTTTATCATGCCTTTGAACAACTGTCTCTTCCAGTAAGAGTTGTTTAATTAAAATATGGATTCCTTCATACAGATAAACAGCACGTAACAACCCTTATGAAATGGTCTAAATGATTTATCAAACCTTGTTTCTATTTAATTCAGTTGTAAGGTAATTATAAAGTATCTTCTTTGATTAGTCTACTGAACTTAAGTATGCTTGTGTATAAAACTGTGCATTTTACTGTCAGAAGGATTAAAGCAGAAAAAGTATTGAAATACTATTTGAAACCCACACTGAAATCAGCAGAAATTAATTTCAACTGACTTTAGATCAGGACCTAAAGGCATATTGTTCTGTTGTACAGACAATGAAAATTAAAAACTGAACAGTTTTCAATGTGTTGAATACAGTAAAGAGAGCAGATCTAACAGTTGTACAAAGAATATATTAACTACTCAGGAGAAAATGTTAATTGACTCAAACTTTCATGCTTCAGTAGAAGAAGCTATCTGGCAGAACACAAGCTCTAAAATATGAAAAAATCATTACCATAAAATTAATTCCCAGTCCTTGCAAGTGAACAGTATTGTCCTGGTGCTTAACATGAACAATACACACTCCTCGAACTGTTGTGTTTGAGCATAGTTAGAAATAATCTAACTAACAGCTTCAGTTTGACCGAATTTGGCAGTAAAAACATCATAATGAAATGCAGGTTTGTTTCTTATTTATTTTTACTATTTATTTGTCCAAACAGTAATTTTCACAAACATTGCGCTTTTGTAAACATGCTACTTACAGCGCCTGCCACTACAGAGATAGTCAAAGTACGGCTACTTTTGAGCACTCTGACAGCCTGCAAATGAAAATAAAACAAAAATTAGTCTGCATTTAGTGGTAAATATGCTGTGCACATGCTGGTTGTCAAGGTTGGAATTTCTAAAAGACCTATCTGAACTGATAACAAGAAGTGGTATCTGTTCAGATCTCCAAATCCTCATGCTCAACGTAGAGCCTTTAAGTAGTTCAGTATCAAAATTATTATTATTTTTTTTTTTTTGGCAGCTAAGAGAATCAGACAGAAGCTTATAAAAAACCCTGGCAATTACATATTAATGGAATTAAGTAGTTTTAATCCTACCTCTTTATGATCCACATTTGAAAAGTCCACTCCATTCACCTCAACAATCTGATCACCAACCTAAAGGAGTTAATCGAAATTTTAGTACAGATTCTGTACTAATACACATACTAACTGGAATGAGAGAGAGACTGTCAAACATTCTCAATTAATAATTACATGTACTGGCAGAATATTCACAAGGGGAAATCAGCTAAGCATGCAAGTTCTCCCATCGGCATTTCCAATTGCCACTATTTGACATGAAATTTTGAGTTAGGTGGACTGTTGTTCTGACCCACATACGTTTTTGAAAGGCAGGGAACTTTTTTGACTGGAAATCTAGCCACACAGTATTTCTTTCTTATAGAAAGAAATAACAGCTGATGTCTCTACAGTGGTCTGGAATCCTTGAAGAAATAAATGTCAAACAAGATTTCTTTGTAGTACCAACACTGTAAAGTGATATACTTACCTCTAAGCCCACTTCCGCTGAGAGAGAACCCGGCTTAACATTACTGACAAAAATGCCTGGTTTTTGTGTTGGACCACTGGAAATACTGGTGGAAGATTAAAAAAATAAATTGTAAAAATAATAATTATAGACTGATACAGAAGCAATCAAGAAGTCTTGTTTTCTTTTTTCTTATTGAGAAAGTTTTTTTGTGGTGTAGATTACTCTGAAACAAGCACTGGAATTTGCAAGTACAGAGAATACTTTTCTGCCCTTCTTGCCACAAAATCATACTTAAAAAAGCAACAACAAAAGAAAAGTGTTCAGGCTTCTGGAGATTACTTTGGATGCTGAAGCTAACACAGTACATGGACCTAACGCTAAGGGACTGAGGACACTTATGGTATTGAAAAGTCAGCTTGTAATGCAGTGAAGAGTTAATAACTGCTTGCATAATTATTTGTTGAACTATAGTATACTGTGTATATCTATAATAGTATTATTGTTCAGGATTGTTTACCAAAACCAAAAAGGATATTGCAATCAGGGTCCAACATCTAGCGTTGAAACTCCAACCTGCAATCCATGCTGGCCCTCAAGACAACAGTCATTTCTGTGGGTAATACGTCCAGCAGGCGATATCAAATCACCCTTCCAGGTTTTGTAAAATATTTGAAGCTTTTTATCTTCCTAACAATATTAAAGAAAAATTATTCTTTTGAAAATATTCTGTGCGGGCAAGTCTTGCTAACCTCAGCTACTACACATTGCAACATGCAAAGAAAACCTGCAATTTCTCTTCTACCTCAAAATCTTCACAACTAGATGAAAGGACAAGTCTGAGAAGCATTTGCTCATATTTCTAAAAATGCTAGATATTCAAAATTAATATTAGGAACCAAGCCACAGCCTCTTAGTTCAGAAAAGTTTCACAGAAAGTAGTCTAGGGTGAGTCAATTTGACAGTGAACAATGCTGAAACCTACTATATTACAGAGCAGCATTTCAAAATATTAAAAAATTTAGAAATTTGAAAGCATTTAAAAGATCCAGTTCCACGACACGTCTTTTGTTATGTTACTATAATCCTGCTTTGATTTTTAAATTGAGATTTTTTTTAAATTTTAAGTCAGAACCTGGGACACAGTTACTTATATTTGTTTAATAATATATGTGTGTCAGAGATGTCCTCCTTTTCCTGTCAAGTTTTCTTGCTCCTCTGTGGTTCTCTGTGTTCTACATGTCACATTAATGAATGAAGGAACAAACTGCCCTGGATGTTTAACAAGCCATGTACCCACCTGCATCCCATGCCTTTTGTGCCAATCAAGCTAATGAAGACTTTTTTCTCTCTACTGTCTCTTCCTCCAGAAGAAGCAAGACCAGCCACACTGCCCTTTCCTTCCTAGAGATTAAAAAACTGTAGACATTACTCTGTGTTGAAGTTGTACGAAAACCAATAGAAACTTCACAAAGCTAAGAAAAAAGCCTGACAATACCAAATTTAGATTCCTCCATGGACCAATTAGAAGTGAATATGAATTACAGTGGTGCAGTGTGACTGATGTGAAAGACAAACATCTATTTGGAGAAAATTGTTTCAATAATCCAGCTTTTTCTCCAGACAAGGATGAAAGAAAATTAGAGGAAAGCGATACGGCAAAATAATAATTTAGATGTTCCCTAACAAAAAAAACTTAAAAAAAAGACTTGATAATGTTCACTACTTAGCATAATCTTTCTTCCTGAAAGACAAATTAGATAATTGTGGTCTTTCTCTACATGGCTACAACTCACTTGCATTTATGTTGTCATTCCTCCACTAATATAACAAAGATAGATCAAATCATCTGTTAAATATTTGTACAGTTAATGAATGGCCTGGTCAAACAAAATAAGATACCAATCAGTGAGTAAAAGTTATTACAGTTGTATAGGGCCCTTTCCTTATCTAGTGATTCTAGAATCATTTCACATCACAAAAGATGTTTTTCCCCAAACACATGTAATAAGATACTGCACCTAAAAAATAAATACAAAGACTTTTGTGGTAAGTTCCAAGGAGAAAATGGTTCAGAACAATTACAGACTTCACAGAAAACAGCATAATTCATCTCTTACCCCAGAATCTGACACAAACTGATCCACATATTGCCATTTAAGGGGTTCATCTGCTGAACTGAAAGGAAAGAGTGATTAAAAATGACAGTGAAAAAAGAACATGAATGTGTTCAAAAAGCTGTTTTGAAATGAGGCATTCTGTTTTGCATCCACTTGTTCCTTAGGATACCATTCACTATAACGTGTACGTTTTGTTCAGCTATTTACACAGAATATCAAACAAGCATGAAATTACTTAGACTAGTAAAGTATTCAATTACTTCAGTGAGTAAAGCTGGCCAAATTTAAAACTAAGTAATCCTCTTTAACTGAAATAATAATGAGAAACTCTAAGAATATCAAGGAAAATAATCATAAAAACTTAAACCGTTTATATAAATGTCTATGCAGAGATACACATTTCATCAACATTTGTCAAATATTCTACTTACAGTATCAAATTGTCAACAACAAATTGAATGAGGACAATAGTTTGATTTTTTCTAAGCTCTAAAGCAATTCTCAAATGTCATATACATGCAGAAGTAGTAAAGCTCTTCATTAAGCAAGATGCGTTGAGAATAAGATTTTCAGGAAGCATTAACAATTAACAAAGAAATCAAAATTTGTTCATTTAAGAAAGCAACCATATAATAAGTCAAACCCACGTAACAAGATATCTGCCTATTCATCACACTAGACACACCATTTTAACAACTTACAGAGATGCATGGCACAAATTTTCGAACATACAGATAAACAAGAGTGATACCTTGAGTATTAAGGCAGCTGTGTGAAAATTAAATATTATTACCTTTTGACTGGTATCATTCCAACATCTGAAAAAGAGAAATGCTGTGTTAAGTAACATTTTCTACTGGTTGCTACTTATCTGTTAACAACCTTTAGTAATAGAGGTGATTTTTGATGCCACTTACGTCTCACTTTTATGGACACTATTTTCTTTGTGCGAATGAGGTTTATGACTTCCTCGTGTGTGCATGATGAGATGGAATATCCATTTATACGAACTATCTCATCCCCAACCTAAAAAATGAAAGATAAAAGGAAAATGTGAATTAAAGTGAAAGTTTCTAAGAAATGATGTAATCGACAATAATTACAATGCAGAAATTTGATAATATTCAGTTCAGTACTTTAGCGATTTCAGGTAAACACTGGATGAAATTTACCTGTACTTGCTTGAACTTAGTACTTAAAACCAATAGCATAGATTAATGGCCAGAATAACAGTTTTACAAATAATATACAGTGAAAAGCATGAAGATGAGTCAGATTTCTGCCTCACAATTTATCTTAAGTTCAGGTGTCCCAGTTCAAACAATTTTTGAATGATAATCGTTTTAATAGGTTCAATTAGTTTTTAATCACATGTTCTCTGAGATACCTTTTCAACTATTTTGGTCATTAGGACATAAAACTTGGTCTTATCCACTTGTCTGATTCTAGATTCAGAACACTATGTTATTTTAATGAATTTAGCTCAATTTCAGATGCAATAGTTTATTGGTTCTAAGAGTCATACACTAGCATAATGTAAGTTTGGTAAATGTAAAAGGAGAACTGGCTTCAACGGACAGAGAGAAGGCTGAGGTACTGAATGAGTTCTTTGCCTCGGTCTTCACTGGCGGCCGGGACTCCAGTACTTCTCCTGTCCCTGAGCCCTGCATCCCTACACCTCTGGGTGGGGACTGGGGTGGTAAATCCCCCCCGCTGTGAGGACAGAGCAGGTCCGAGACCGCCTCATGAGACTGAATGTGTACAAGTGTATGGGGCCGGATGGCGTGCATCCCAGGGTTCTGAAGGAGCTGGCTGAGGTGGTTGCCGAGCTGCTCTCCATCATATTTGAGAAGTCGTGGCTGTCAGGTGTGGTCCCAGATGACTGGAGGAAGGGTCATGTCACTCCTATTTACAAGAAAGGGAGCAAGGAGGACCCTGGGAACTACAGGCCGGTGAGTCTCACCTCTGTGCCTGGGAAGATCATGGAACAGATCATCCTGGATGACATGCTCGATCACATAAGGAAAGGGTGCGTGATCTGTGACAGCCAGCACGGCTTCACCAGAGGAAGGTCATGCTTGACCAATCTGGTGGCCTTCCATGATGGAGTGACGGCATCGGTGGACAAGGGAAAGGCGACCTATGTCATTTATCTGGACTTGAGCAAGGCCTTTGACATGGTCCCCCACCACATCCTTATCTCCAAGTTGGAGGGATGTGGATTTGATGGGTGGACCACTCGATGGATAAGAAACTGGTTGAAAGGCCGCAGACAGAGGGTGGTCATCAATGGCTCCATGTCCAGGTGGAGGCCGGTAACGAGTGGTGTCCCCCAGGGGTCTGTCTTGGGACCAGTGCTCTTTAACATCTTTATCAATGACATCGATGATGGAATCGAGTGCACCCTCAGTAAGTTTGCTGACGACACCAAGCTGAGTGGTGCAGTCGACATGGTTGAAGGAAGGGATGCCATTCAGAGGGACCTTGAGAGGCTAGAAAGGTGGGCCCGGGTGAACCTGATGAGGTTCAACACGGCAAAGTGCAGAGTTTTGCACTTGGGCCGGAGGAATCCCAGGCATTCCTACAGACTGGAAAAAGCGGTCCTTGAGAGCAGCCCTGTGGAGAAGGACCTGGGGGTCTTGATAGATGAAAAACTTAATATGAGCCAGCAGTGTGCCCTTGCGGCTCAGAAGGCAAATGGTATCCTGGGCTCCATCAGAAGAGGGGTGGCCAGCGGAGACAGGGAGGTGATTGTTCCCCTCTACTCTGCTCTTGTGAGGCCCCATCTGGAATACTGCGTCCAAGCGTGGAGCCCCAGTACAAGAAAGACAGGGAACTGTTGGAGAGGGTCCAGAGGAGGGCCACAAAGATGATCAAGGGACTGGAGCACCTCCCCTGTGAGGACAGGCTGCGAGAGCTGGGCTTGTTCAGCCTGGAGAAAAGAAGGCTGCGGGGTGACCTCATTGCAGCCTTTCAGTACCTGAAGGGAGCCTACAAACAAGAGGAGAATCAACTCTTTGAAAGGGTTGATAACTGCAGGACAAGGGGAAATGGTTTTAAGTTGAAGGAAGGGAGATTTAGATTGGACGTTAGGGGGAAATTCTTTACAGACAGAGTGGTGAGGTACTGGAACAGGCTGCCCAGAGAGGTTGTGGATGCCCCATCCCTGGAGGTGTTCAAGGCCAGGTTGGATGGGGCCCTGGGCAGCCTGGTCTAGCATTAGGTGGGATGATTGGTGGCCCTGCGTGTGGCAGGGGGGTTGGAGATTCATGATCCTTGAGGTCCCTTCCAACCCTGGCAGTTCTGTGATTCTGTGAAGTTTATTCTGGGCTGCAGTAGCTCAAACCTTCTTGGATTATGTACACTAGTTACAAAAGAGTACATTATTCATCTGACACCCTTTCATGAGTCTCACAGCAGCAAACCATTGTTTTTCATATACTGTGGCTGGGGAGATGGTACTGCCACACTATTGTCCCAACTCTCTTGTTGTAAGACACAAAAAAAAATAAGTGGGACACTTGGAACAAAACCATACAAGAAACCTCCCACCAAGCAGAAGACAAGTCATTAATTTATTCCCAAGGCTACTCTGCATGCATGCGATACATATTTGGGCTACATGGATAACAGAGAGCATGATCAGCTACGGAACAGACCAAGAACAAGCAACCTGAATAGCAGCAGGAACAAAACTAAGGTTATTCCCAAGGCAAATTCAGTTGAAGAAAGCTCAAGTGAAACCACAATTGGCTGTATCAGTAGCTCATGTTTATTGCACCACTGCAAAGCTTTCACTTAAAAAGGCCTCCTCTTCTTTAATTCACATCCATGCATATTATTTGACAACTTTATTTTTGACAGCTTGATTGGAAGTCTCCAACTTCTTCTAATGATCCCCTTAGCAATGCAGGCTAAGAAGGAATCAGGGATAGTGACACTGCCTACTTAAGGTTGTATGTAACTAGCTGCTCAAGATGGTATACTTGATAGGATCCCCTATATTTGATAGGACAAGGGGGAATGGTTTTAAACTGATGTAGAGGAGGTTTAGGTTAAATATTAAGAGGAATTTTTTCGAGGGTGGTGACACACTGGAACAGGTTGCCCAAGGAGGCTGTGGATGCCCCATCCCTGGAGGCATTCAAGGCCAGGCTGGATGTGGCTCTGGGCAGCCTGGTCTGCTGGTTGGCGACCCTGCACATAGCAGGGGGTTGGAACTAGATGATCATTGTGTCCTTTTCAACCCAGGCCATTCTATGATACCATATTAAAAAATGCCAAACCTTAGCACTTGCACACAGTGTGAACCATATGACAGGATTGTGTGAGAACTGGTGTCAATGACTCTCTTCCATTAGGTAAATCAAACAAATCAATCCTCTATAGAGAAGGATTGGCAAATACTTACCGAAAAACAGCTTTAACAACAATCAATCAATATCCTCATACACCTCTGTACTTTTATCTTCACAAGCACAAAGCTAAATACCTTCACTTTACTGCTTTCCAGTAACATCTTATACTACAAATATTCATTATGTAAAATGTATCGAAATGCCATCTTTCTAGGGTCACAGAACCACAGAATATCTGGAATTGGAAAGGACCTGCTAAGATCACTAAGTCCAACTCTTAGCTCCACACAGGACTACACAAAAATCAAACCATAAATCTCCAGATGTTTCCATACCAAATAGTATTTTCTTTTCAGGTTCCCCCATGGCTTTCCAGCTTTACTGTTCTAGGACAGAAGATAACACCACCAGCCTTAGTCACAGCAAGAAAGTGATCTACATGAAGTGCTTCCACTGTTTTTTCCATCATACAATTTTGACGGGAGTACCTGTGCCTGAAAAGGCTTTTAAAAAGTGAAGAAGTCACAGTCTAGATCACTGAAGACTGGCTTCTTTGTACCTTGCTGACAGTTTTAAGGCAAAGATGGAGACAGATGGAAATTCCTACTCTGGCTCTGCGCAGCTCTATTAAACACCTAGCATTTACACTGCCACGTTCATGGGAGAAGACAACAACAAATGGGAAGCAGGAATTCTTCAGTGTGGGTTGTGTTTTGTACACCAACTTGGTTGATGGGATATTAGACATGCCATCATCCACTGCCTCTATCTTTATTCATAAGGAATAAATATCATATTTTCCAACTGTGCTCCATTCAAGCGGAATAAAGGAAAAAAAAAACCCTCTACTTTTTCAATTCTTTCCCAAACTTTTTTATTTTTTCTGGGAAGTGTTATATGATGCATAGTAGTATGCAAAATACTACATACATACTAGTATACAAAATCTCCCCCTTGTGCCAAAATACCTCTTGAAGCACAGACTCCACTGCACTTCAACGTGCTTAGCTAACACAGTACAACTTCAAAAGACTACCAAAGTGGAGGAGGAAAAAATAAACAAAAAGCAATCTACGACTCTCCTGAATTAGAGAACATTTTGCAGAGGCACAACGTGACTGTAGTCTACAGCCGGTGGAACTGCTGCTCCATCTGCTGGACACTGAAAATCATACAATCAGAATCGTATAACTATAGAATAGCCTGGGCTGAAAGGGACCTTAAAGATCATCCAATTCCAACACCCTGCAATGGGCAGACTGCCACCCACCAGTCCAAGCTGCCCAGGGCCCTATCCAGCCTGGCCTGTTTTTTCATGAACAGTGGTCAACACTGGACTACCTAGGAAATGTCAGACAGGGCAATGACCCATGTGCAATTCTCAGTACTCCTGGAAGCTTAACTTTTTTTCATTTAAGCCAGTAAGATTTTTAGAAAGAAGGGAGCTAACTCTGCACTGAAGGCTTTTGAACATACAATCTGTAATAAAAATCAGAGCATCTGAGAAAGAAAAGCACACAGCATCTGCAATATAGCGTCACACCTCTTACTGCTCTATTTATGATAGAGACACTTCTCTTAACTGTCTTGTTGCAAATGTTCAAAGCCACATCTATCCACTCATTCTTAACTGACAGCTATTGCCTTTCCTCTGAAAACCCACTGTGAAACTCTAAGACAGTTCCTTGCCCCAAAAACTAAGAGAATACAATCTAGATCTGTTTCACTGCCCTCCACACTTCAGAAAATCCATTGTAAGAAAAGCATTTTTAAGACCAGGCTTCTCATTGACAACAGTTGTACTGCCAAGAAGAAAATTAGCTGTGAGTAAACTCAGACACTTGTGGCTTCGTGCACAGAGACTTAATATTCTCTACAAATCATGAAGACTTTCAAGTGTACTTCAGATTCTACACCTCAAGCTAGGAAACAATAAGAGAGTGAGTGACCCTATTTTTCAAAGGAAGGGTGACTGAGTACCTCAGTAATAAAACACCAACAAAGCCTCATCTCTTCCTATCTTTGGCCTCTCTGGATTACACACTTTAAAAAATGCCAAAAGTTTGTGTAAAATAATTTACCACGAATATGTACTATTGACTTCAGTTTTCTATCTGCTCAGTTCACCTTACACTTATGTTGGTGGTTTTTATTGTTTAGTGCTTTTATATATTCTTAAGAACAGTTCAAGATCTGTCCTTTATTCCCTGCTTCCAAGCCAAGAAACTACAACAGCCCATGGAGCCTTGGCCTACATAAAAACAAAAAGACAAACCTAAGAAAATTAAATTGTTCTTAAGGAAGTAGCCAAATTTAATGCGATCAATTGCAGTGATGTGACACATAAAGGAATCTGCATTTCAGAAAAAAAGTGTAGCTCAGAAGTGGTTGTTACTCATTAAGCTAGTCATATCTGTTAGCATTACATCATCGTCCTAACAGGCAGACAGAAAATTATAAATGTAGCCAAGAGAGTTTTTTCTTTTCTCCTCCCATAAAGTAATGAATTTTTCCCACGTAGATATTTTCACCACTGATCTTCACTATGTTGTCATTTCATTTCTGAAGCTTGCTATGCTTAACTTTTCCTAAAAACAGTTCCATTATTGTCATTGAGAACTGATGATGCCTTAGAACAATGCCAGTCTGGGCTGAAATGACAGGAGACATCATAGGAATGTAACACATCACGTCTCGTTACAACATTTGAATTGCTTTTTCTGGAAAAAAAAAGAAAGAGTGTCCACATAATTAATTCATACCTGTTTTCATATATCTTTGTTACTTTTCTACCAGTATTATTCCATACCAAATGTCTCATTTGGCAGTAGTAAAGAAAAGTTCACATAACTGAGCAGAGTAGAACAGTAACTCTTATGCCATTGTATATTACTATTTCTCTACAAACAAGGAGATGTCAAACTTTCAAAACTCAAGCTGTAAACCTGACTTTTCCCAAGTGAAACACCCTTTATTTTCAACTTTTAACATGAGAAATATAATATTTAGTGCTTCCAGGAAATTGAATGGCTTTTACACAATAACACCATTGTTCAAACTTCTCATTTTGTATACTACTTCTACTTTCATCATTCATATCAACCTAATCTGTTTGTATTCAACAGAATCCTCACAGATACAAATATCTGAGAAAGCAGAGGAAAAAAAAATATTTCTTCATGAAAGGACTAAGCACTCACCTTTTTTGAGAAAATGTAGTTTAAAAAAACTTTAAAAAAAGGTCAAATGCCTTAGAAAAAAAATCCACATTATTCTGCCATTTTCATGTACCTTGGAAACTACTTCAAGGAGAAAAAACTGCAAAATTAACAAGTTGTTGTTTTTTTTTTTTTTTTTTTTAAAGTCCAATAATGGACCGATGTTATAACAGAAGATTATTATATCTTTCTCAGAGAGCATTTTTTGGTTAGAAAATGTGTAGAGATTTAGTTAAATAAAACAAGTGGATGAAATTTCAGTAGCAGTTGGCTTTACTGCGAGACAGCAATTTAGAACAATGGGCTGCCTGTCAACTCCTGCCACTCAGATGGCTTTAGAAAGTGCCTAGTGCCACCTATTATGAAGGCACCTGAAGGTGATCTTTAACAGCCCGTATCAGGGAAAAAACAGGCACTTACTTTAGCTGTGAGGCACCAGCTGTTAATATTTATAATCTAACCCTAACAAATTCATAGTCTGAAGGATATTTGTGCTCGTTGTCCCTGTTATGTCTGCTAAACTCTAGTTAAGCTCTAAGTTGCAGTACAACTTGTAAGAGCAGCCCAAAGGTCCTCCTGTGCAATCCCATTCACTATCACTATTTATCATGTCCAAACATTAGCCTGAAACAAATGAGAATCAGATCTGCAAGATAGCATTAAGATGACTGTACTACCATGACAGCTAAAGACAGTGGCCATTAAATCCTTTACTGTTCAGCACCACTAATGCCTTCAAGCATTCTCGAGGAGATACTTTTTTTTTTAAAAAAAAGCAATATAAATGACTAGTTTTCACTCCCCCCTTCCACCCCCCCCCCCCCCCCCCCCAGCAATGAAGGAAGGATGCAGCTGGAATCTCACTACCAAACTTGCTACAATCCAGGAATATCAGTGCCTCGGTGTCCCTTTCTGGATGACCCACAGGTACCTCCCATGCTTAGGAGTAGGCTACTGACATTACAGCCTATGTTAATTATGTCTGATATACCACTCTCTCAACGATAGATAAACTCAGAATTTTTGAGTATGCATTCCCTGAATTTGAGGTTTTGTTCCAAAAGAGAACTTCTAAGAGTGTCCAGGAAGCTGGTTAGAAAACACTGCCAAAAGAGGGGACTAATTCAGTGTTGATTCTGAATTGGTGAATGGTATATATAGCTGTAAACACACAAAAGAGCATGTGTATATAAGGAAATGTGTACAAACGTGTGTATAAGGAAATGAGAATAACATGTACGTTTTAGAAAGCTTTCAATATATTATGGAAATATGGAACTTGTACAGTCAAGAAGTGTACAGTGCAGTCAGGATGGTACTTTACAGGTGTCATAGTTGGAAAAATTATAATCAAGGCAGAGATAATCAAGGAAGAAATGCTCACCCATATCCAAGAATATAGGCTCACAATGGAAAACTCCACAAAGGAGGGATCTCCAGAAAGAGATCCTTCCCCTGTGGTAGTGAGCCATTAAATTGGGTCTAGGAGAGGTGCAGCCAGGTACCACCCCTCCCAGTCACACAGGTGAATTGCCTTCACCTGTGCTCCCAGAGCTGACCCAGTCTTGCCTCAGGTGATCAGTGGTTCAGCCTGTGACTCAACAGTTCTCTAACTGTAACAGCTATATCATTAAGGGTTAAAATGAAGCATACCTACAAAACCTAACTTAATTAAATAGTGTATCGAATCATGATGATTAACACATTTTGAACTAGTATTAAATAGAAACCTTGAATGTCAAAACTTTCAACAATTATTCACGCTCCACAAATTGAAATTAGCCAGACTTATCAACTGTTCTACTTGGAAACAGACCTTCAAATACTCCTTATCAGCTACAGAAAGATTTATATAGACAACTGCCACAGCAACTGCTCATTTCTCTCTTCACTATGTATGAAGAAGGATTGACACACTGAAAAGAAACCAACAAAAACAAAAAACAAATACAAAAACACCACAAAGCAAAACAAACAAGAAAACCCATAACACTACACAACTTGAAATGTACAGGTCAGAGAAGTACTGAATTAGGAAAAAGAAGTGTTTCTATACATATTTATTTTTGTGTGCAAAGCACTGTTACAGTTCAGGTGCCTAGAGTTTAATCATTGGAAAAGCAATTCTATACAGTATAAAATATACTTGTAATGGCTAAATAGGGGATGTTTCTTTTCTGCATTTTTGCTGGGAAAAAAACCCACCATCACAACACAATTTATACATGCAGTTCAAATAAACACCTCATTACATAAATTGTAACAGTGCAACATGGAATTAACATTCTTAATATTTATGTGCTCTGTCCTACATTTAATGAGAACTTGGCAAAATTAGAACCAAGTATCTTCTCTATCTGCTTATATTTAATTATTGCAATTAATGAAGTATAAACTCCAGAAAAACCTTTTATCTTCCAAAATGATCACACCCCTAAGATGAAAAAAGTTTCATCATTCTACAATTAAATAAAACTGATGAAGAGAACAATTTGAATAACTGCATTCACCAGTGGCGTTTGCTATGACATCAACGTACATATTTTACATACTTTGTTAGAAGAGACAAAAAGCACCTAGCAACTGCTATTTCTAAACATGAAAGAACATTCCTTAATGCCTGGTTCTCTAACGTCACAGAAAAGGCTTTTTACAGCACAGCATCAACGGATATAATTGTCTTACCTGCAGTCCAACATTGTCTGCTTGTCCTCCTTTAACTAACTGGGAAATAAAGAGGCCACAGCTAAATTCCGCTCCACCTCTCACACTTATTCCCAGTCCTTCAGGGTGCAAACGATCCAATCTCACTTCCTTCAGTTTTCTGAAACAGGAAACAAGAAAATCACTGCAATCACTGGAGCTGTCAGTGCTTGTAGGGTATTAGAGCGATAAGATTTTTTGTATTTATTAAATGCAGGAAAAATGAGAAAAGTTTATTTCAACAGAGAAGCATTGTTTTTGGATGCCCACACCCTACTTTTACTAGATTAAGCTACTTTGCAAAAAGTAGCTACGAAACACAGCAAAGTTTAAAAGAGCAAATGTGCACAGCTCTGCATAGATAAACTCCAATTAAATACTAGTTATCTTAAAACTTAATCAATATTTCTTGTTTGTATTTATCTGGAGTTAGCTACGTTGTTCTGCATGCTCTTACCTCGATCTTTTGGGTGTAAGCTGATCATACTCCACCTGGTGTTTTAATGGAATAAGTGGGCGGATAGCATCGAACAGAGGCAGCCTGCTTGGTTCATTAATCACAAGTTTTAGGTCACCCACAAGCACTGGGAGGTTCATAGATCTACAAAAACACAGCGAGAAAAGAGGCAGGGGTCATCAATACAAAGCACTATTAAATAACTTGCTGTTGATGTGGCTTCAAATATTGGTGTGTCCCTGCAACTAAGAAAGTTATTTATATGAATCTTCATTTAACCAAAGCAAAATAACCTCTGGAAAAGTAAATGTTCTATAAGCAAACAAAAAGAATACCTCCTTCAAAATGACTCCTATCCATTGTCTTTATCTTTTAAGGTCACATACATAACTTCTATAGATGACAGTTGTAATTAAACAAAGCTCCTAAAAGAAAACTTATACAACATCCACTTAAACTTAGTTTATAGTAGTACTATAAACCTAGTTTATAGTAGTTTACTATAAGAAAGGGAACAGCTATACTGTAATATTTTATTTCCTGGCATAAAATATTTTCCAGGCATTTGCACTGAAAATACAGATCAGGAATGTGTATTACACAGCTTTCATTTTGAAGTGCTTTTCACAAAGAAGAAATGCAAAAATGTGTTTTGTCCAACAGTGATTGTGTTTATTTCTCCTTGGAATACTCCATAAAGGATTTTTTTTTTTTTTTAATTGGTACTTCATCAATATATGTTCATAGAGATGTTAGGAATTCTGCTTATGCTATTGCAATTTTGGAAACTGAGGAACAGTTATACTATACACGTTGTTAGTTCTATAACTGGAAGAAGATTTTAAATAATTAAGAGATACTGATTCAACCTGCTTTCCAAACAACAGGCTTTATGAAAGGAGAAGCAATTAGGCAGACCTAAGTGAAACTGAATCAGATATGCAGCTGAATACACCAAAAACTATAGCTCCATACAAACATCTGATCGAAACGTCTGCATTTCACTCAGCTTAGATGCTATTAAGGTATGAATGGAAACGATGTCTATCAGAGCCACTCGTCTATGATGAGTGGAAAATACTTTCTAATCCTCTTTGAGAAACAATGGATGAGATGCTGATCTCATCTGCAGTGACACAGGTCCAAAGAAACTGTGGTTTAAATCAGTTCAGCAAAAGAACTGGTGACCAGCCTATCACCTTACAGTTACTTTCCGTTATATCATAATAACTCAGAGTTGTTAAACAAGCCAGACTCCCACCCTAAGCTTTTTTCAGCTTTTGGGCAAAGCAGTTGAAAGCAAGTCTTATCCTGAGTAGTACGCAAAAATCTTTAGTCAACAAAAACTTCTGTTATAAAGAAATAAGCTTCATTTGGAAATAATTAATTAATTTGATAAACATTCTCTTCCTGTCTCTGAAGAACTGTCCTATCATCCAGGTGCTTCCCTCCCACCATCCACCCCAAATCAACCAAATTCATTTTCAAAACAGCCAAGTCATAATGTCAAAATAACTTTGTGAGCGACAAAAAAATGCCCCTTTAATGTCTGCAGGCTACATTGTAGAAGCGTAAATTTCATTAAAAAAATACTACTTCTGCTGTAACTTCCAGAAAGAGCATTTAAAGTCTTGACTTTCAAAACACTAGCAAAATTCTACACAAACATATATAAAGCTAGTCCTTACTGGTGGTACATCCGCAGCACATCATAAAGGTAGTCCTTCTCCGCTTCATTGTCAATTAGCAGATTAACCTGAAAATCCAAGGATGCTACTGTAAATCTGATTAAACAGACACAAACATCAAATGTACAAATCTTCAACAAATTCTTAGGTCACAGATCAAAGATTTCAGCAGGGAAAGGTTTTTTATTTTTTAAATAAAAACTTTTTGTAACAAACTATCCTTCAAAATGTGAAATTGGCAAGACTTCTTTTAATTTATTATTGCAACAATTGGACAAAATAGTAAATAGTCCTCTTGGCCGTGCAATACTTCTAAAATAACAGAGTATCAGTCTTACCTGATAATCGCTGTACTGTTGAATAAATGTTTTCAGAAACCTTTTTGGCCATTCGTTAATATAGCACATGTTGTCACAGATATCAACATTCCTCTGAGATAATTACAATCTAAGTTCTGTGGTTCCAATCCAAAGATTTCAGGCTGTACCTCATTTGTAACATTACGTAAACAGCTGCACTACCTTTCCTCTCAGCTACAGCTCTTAACTGGTAGAACTTGCCAGTTATTCTTTCCTCCCCCTCTAATAGTACGTTTACTTAAACCAGTGTCACATTACAGTGCCTGTTCTCAAATGCTTACAGTAAAATAAAGATATATATAGATATAAATATATCAACAACAACAAAGTAGAATTCTTATATGAGGAATTCAACTTACACTCTGTGACGTTGGTGAGACCTTCCAGTAAGAGGTCACAGCACAGAAGCTTCACATTTAGACAAGCTCAATATTTAAGAAAACAATTTACATCTGACCTAAAGGCTAATATTACTGTGACGTGTAGACTGAGGACCAATTTGCATAGCTAAAGAAAGGCCCTTGCTTTCTAAGTTTGCAATGCTTTATATTATATTCTAAACTAAATACATGCCTCACATTCCCTTTGCAATTTACTTAGGGCCATCAATAGCTTCTGTCAGCTGACTCCGGCTTCATAAATCTGTTAAAGATCATGCCTCCACGTATTTAAGAAAAGAAGAAATCAATGGTGACATAACTTGGACAAATGAAATATTCTAGTATCTCTTTATTTTTCAATAAAAGTTAATTTTGAAGGTATGGGATAGGTGATTCCACAGCTTTCAAGACAAGAAGCGTCCACTGTACTTGTTTTTCTTATATGAAACTCCTAAAAAATATCTGTTGATTTGTGCTCCAAGACCATAGCTTATGGTTCAACTCCACTGTCCCTCTTGGAAATGAGCTGACATTAAAAGATTCTAAGAAGAGCTCACCCAATGTATCTCTGTGTTGGAGAGATAATAGATGAAATTTATTTTCACACATGAAAAGTTACGTTGCATGATGAGCGTAGAGGATCTCATACTCAGTGTTACACAAGTATAATGCATGGACAAGGTAAACTTGTCTACAAAGGCACCAACCGTGGCCAAGACATGTCTATATCTATTAACTTTGTCAAAGACAGACTTCTAATCTCTCTTCAGTGTAACAAATTTTTGGGGCTTCTAACTTCCCCATGGTTTTTTATGTTCTGTCAAAGCAGTGCTATCACAGGACTCATAGCATACTAGCAGGCTTTATAAAAAACAAAGAAGCATTCAACAGACATTTATCTGAAAAGAGATAACACCTCTTAAAACAGAAAGCGCAACTGATGTAAACTCTCTTAATTGTAAGATCAGATCAACATGAAAAAAGTAGTTATGACAAAGTTTTCTCACTAGCTGAAGAAATGTTTTGCTGTTGGCAATCACAAAACACAGAGGAGGCTGCTGCTGACTAATCACGTCTACTTATTTATTTTACTATCTGTAAAATTGTTACAAGCTTTGCCTTCAAGCACGCTTTTCAGAAAACTGATATACAGAAAGATTCTGTAAGTAAAAGTGAATATTTAGAAATGGATTTACTGATTCAGTTTCCAGAATGAGCTTCAGTGTATGCACCATTTAACTTGAAATGCAAGACTGCAAAGTGAACTGTGTAACATCTGCTGCTCTTTCAAAACGTGGTAGAATCAACATAAAAGTAAATCAGTTCTCAGGAGCCTTAATAAAGTGAAAATGCATTTTTACTGTTTAAAATCAGCACTTTTTGGTGTGAAACAGGTTCATACTACAGTGATGGGGCTGCTGCAGCAGCAGCACGTCAGTCAGCTTTTGCAGAACAATATCAAGTTCTACATGAGTTCTGAGGCCTTTGAAAGCTATTAAGGAAAACTGAAAAGCAGGCCAATAGATTTACATATATAATTTGTATTAGTGCTTCATCAATGGGGATTGAAATCACTGAGGAGAAAAAAATGAAATGAAAGAGGCAAATATCTGAGTAGTAGATAACCGGTCATTTTCCTCGTTTTGACAAAGGAGAAAAAGCAGTCAAGACAATGAAATCCCCACAGAGCAGCAGGGTAATACTAACCAATTTAAAGAAGTGTTCCAGTATCATCTTACTCAGAGGAAGAGCTTTCACTTAGGAATGCACCCTATGTACTTGCACCAACACATGCTGACAATAAGCCTTTCTTACTCCATCAGGGTGGGACTGGGGTAGTTTATGAATAATTGCAGCAGCAGTAAAAGGGAAGAGGTGGAAGAGGGTTTAAAGTTCAGTATGGCAGCCATCCGCCTGGCAACCTGAGCCTTACAGATACCTTGCACAACCTGCTGCTGGGTTACACAGTAATAGATAGCAAAACTGAAAGAACTTGCTGCACAGCTGCAGCCATCGTTACTCAGTATCCAGATTCTCAAAGTCATTGAATTCATTTCGATTTTTTTTCGTTGTTGTTTTAAACAGCCCCTCTACTTCATTCTAACATTTCCTCCTTAACAACTTCATTTCTAGATGATATTTCTACAAAACACTTCTTCTCTTTTCAGGAGCTACCTCAAAGAAAGTCCACATCCTAGGAAAGCAAACAAACAAAGCCAGCACTCACTGTTACAGAAAACAAAACCCTCCTAAGTATGTAAATCACTTTTCTCCTTGTTTCCTTTCGGGGTTATTCCACTCGTGCACTTTCGATCTCCGCTGAGGGCTTATTTGATGGGTACATGAGACAAGATGTGCCAGGCAGAGGGAGCCGTTCCATGCATCAAGTGCCTTTGCACATGGCTGCACACACACAATTGCACTGCCAAGCATTAAGTAGGAGCTGAACTCCTGCACAGAAGCTGCCGTGCAGAACCTTGGGCCTGGACTTCAGCACCTGCACCTTCGCCTTCCGCAAACCGGACGGGGTGCTACGCTTTTTATATGATTTTATTACAATAACACAACACTCACTGTATCAACGCTCATGTTTTGAGGAATGGTTTTTGCTGGTGGTGGTTTTGTTTATTCGCTTACTTGTTTGCGGTTTGATTGTTTGTTTTTCTTCTCCCTCCCATTTCAAGGACCCTCTCACCGCAGGCTCACCCCGCCCCTCCTGTCACCCGACCCGCGGGCAGCGCACAGCCCAGAGCCGTGCCCCAACGCGGCGCTTCGCTTCGCTTCCCCTATCCCGAGGTGAGCAGCCGTGCTCCGAGCTTTCCGTACCTTGTGCCGGAACTCGCGGGCGACCCGGCGCTCCATGCTGCGCTGCTGCGCGGGGTGCGGACGCGGTGCGGACGCTGCGCGGAGCGGCTGCGCCTTGGAGGCCGCGCCCCGACGGGGTGGGAGGTGCGCCCGCCGCCGCCTCCAGCAGCCCCGGCTCTCGGTACCGGCCGCTGTAAGAGGGTACCTGAGTGCGAACCGATGGGACGGCTGCTTAAGGGCAAATCGAAAGAAAGAAAAAGAGAGAAAAGAGAAAATAGTCGCCCCTTTCTGCAGGCTGTTCCCTCGGCTCGCACCGACCTGCTGTCTGCGGGATGAATTTACAGCCTGTTCTCACGCAGCAGGAGCTCACGCCCAGCCATCGCCCTGGTCCTGGTAGGCAGGTGTGCCTCTAGCTCTGCTTTATAAGCAAACTGCAAGATATAGAATGTATAGCATGCTAACAGCCAAAACGGGTGGAAGGTGAATTTGTTTCAGTGAATTATTCTACTGAAATATATGTAATACATATTTAGGTAAACTCTGCGATTGTGTTGTACCGTGGTTGGGTGTTCAAGTCAGATTTCATTGCCAACAGGCTTTCCTATGAAAATAAACACCACTGCTTACACCTGTAGCACGAAGTGCCTACAATGAGTGACTGGATAGGAATCAAGCTCAAAGCACCTGAAAGGGAAGCTCTTTCACACTAATCTCTTGTAGGTCATTTTGTCCTGGGCTCCTGCTCCTCCTACCCTCCCTGATCTAGTACCTGATAATAAAAACTTCTACAATGAAGGCTAGCAGAAGTGCAGGGGAGCAGCTGCCCCATGCCCTTGAGCCTCACAGCAGAAGGAATTTTACCTCCCTGGCTCCATAGGGAATGTTACTTACATAAGGACTGGAAGCTTCCCTGACAGTGGGAACCTGTCAGAATGCATAGAAAGGCATGATTAAAAAAATCCAAGCAGCCAAATACAAACCATATAACAAATCTCTTATATTAATTTCTGTGTTAAGTGACACCAGCTCCCTTGGAAATTGCTCCTGCCCTTTGAGAGGATAGTTTTGCTGTGTGGGCACTTTTCAGTGGTAGGTATGCTGCCTGCTTTGCATATAGGTGTCAGGAACACGAAAGAGGAATGCACTGCAAACCTGTGTGCAAATACAGAGAGCTTTCAGAAAACAAACTTCTCTGAGTAGTACAACAAATAGACAAATCACTTGTCTTCTGCCTACGGTAAGCTGCAGTACCACACGGGGCTGAAAAGCTGTTCTAACCAAGCATTTTACACATTGTGAAATAATTTCATCCCTGCATAAGTAAATAAAATTGTTTTGTATTTGCAAACTGTAGGAAGGAGATGCACAAATTTAAAGGACATTCCTTACTGTGTATGTGTCCTTCAGTTTTACATTAAACTCTAAGTCAGTGATGTCTGGCAAGGACTATGAGAGGACTTCACAGAAATGGATCTTTTGTCAGCTGAAATTTATGTGTATTTGAAAGAAATTGACTTTTTAATCCTAATTTTCAGCTGATGAAAGAATAATTTCTGTAAAGTCCCATGCTCCAAAACAGTGAATGTAATAATCAGAAAATTTGTGAGATGGTTCTGAATCATCCATTACTTCAAATAGGCCAGATTAAAAGATGGTGTAATTTTGACTGCTAATTAGTTTTGGTAATGAAATCCTTCATGATGGAAAATCAAATTATGCCTAAATCAGCTTTAAGCTCATTCCAGTTATTATTTTTATGTGAAAAGGAAAAATGAATAAAGTGGGCAAGCCCATTTGTGAAGCAAGGAAATGCATTAAAATGCTTGTTGTGCAAACTGATTCCTGTTGCTTTTGATGTACTCTCTCCACTTCCATGGTCTGGAATAGAGAAAGCACACCGAAGCCAAATGTGTGGTGTGCTCAGAGGAGCGGGGCTCTGCGCCGTGGGCAGAAAACAACTGCAAAACTCTGTTTGAGGTCATTTAGAAAAGGATCTTTTCTGTCTCCTCTTTTCATGTCTCACACACATTCTCCCTCTAACTTTTACAGGAGAGAACAGAATCCTCGGTGAAAACATCGCTCGTTTTCCATCATTTCATTAGAAATGAAACACTTGTTGCAGCAAGAAATACAATCCTCAGGGACAAATTACAAAGGCAGAAAAGAGACCTTTTTAATGACTTTCTGTTAACAGACTTCCCAAAGCAGGCAGAAAAGGCCCCTTTTCATCTGAGTCAGTTTCTCACTCGGTGTGGGCAGCTTCTAAAGCTGCTGTTATAGGATACGTGCACCTGAAGAATGACTGCGGGAAAGGCAGCAGCAGATGGGAGAGGGAAAAGCAAAGGAAAAAAAAAAAAAAAAAGCAACAGAGAGAGGAAGAGGGAAAAGGGGAGAAAAAAGAGGGTAGGGAAGGTAGAAAGAGCAGAAAAGAAAAAAAAAAACAAAAAACTCTAAATTCAAGACTGTGCAGCTGTGAGAAGGTGCAGAAATAATCACCGCACATCAGCTGCACGACTGCTGTGGTTTACAGAGTTCTGTCGGTCGCTTCAGCGAGTAGAGCGATGCTCTCAGTCGCGAGGCACTGACGACGTACGCCGGCCCCCGTGCCAGCAGCCGGTGCTGGGAGCCGTGCGCGGCCAGCAGCAGTGGGGCAGGAACCAAAAGACCCAACCGCGCGAGCGTTACAGCACAGAGCCCGGACACGCAACCCCACCGCTGCGTGAAATGCGGGCAGCCGAGGCGCTGCGCGTGTCCCTCACCTGCAGGAGATGCAGGGCTGCACGACGAGGGGCGGTGATCGGGGTGGGGGCTCAGGGAAGGGCCGGGGGCGGAGGGCGGGAGGACACTTATACCCCCCGGCCGCTGCGCCTGGGAGGGCGGAGTGAGCTGAGGTAGCGGTCGGTGTGAGGGGCTGTAGCTTCGCGGGACACCGCTGCCCGTCCGCATGGAGGCCAGGCTGCTCCTCGGGGCGCTGCTGTGCGCCGGGCTGCCGCCGGGTGAGCTCCTAACTCGGGTCAGGACGCACGACAAAGCAGTTTGATCGCTGCTAACCCGGTGCTTTTGCTTTGCAGCTTGGTCTCCGCGAGGTGCCAGCGCGCAGCCTCCCGCCGGCGGCGACTTCCCCATCCTCAGGTAAGAGCAGCCGGGGTGGAGCGGGGCTCCTGCGGGACGAGCCGACCAAACCCTGCCATGTTCTCCTGCCCGCAGCCCAAGCAGCACCGCTGGACCTTGGAGAGGGGACGGCCTCGGTGCGGCCATGCAGGTAGGGAGAGGGGGCGGGCAGCGGGGGGTCTGCGCTCATCCCTTTGGGCTGTGGGGTGGTCTCTCACGAAGGGTGAATCGGGCTGTGTTGGGTCCTTCGTGACATGAGGTGATGCCTCGTCCTGCCCGTCTGGTGGAGGTGTGAGGTGGGGCTGCTGTGGGGTCACGGCTTTAGGCACTGGTAACACCTGGTGCTTGGGGACTGAGGCTCCCCCCAGGGGTCAATATACAGAAATTAGCTTCATTTCCTTCTCTGTTGGCTTCTGGGGCTTTGAATGCTTTTTTTGTAAGAAATATGTGCAGGAGAAATGGGAAAGAAAAAATACATACATGTTTTTTTCTTAATCAAGAACACAAGTAGCTAGTCCAGCTAGAACAAACCATTTTTACACGTTTTCCCTTTTAATGAGCTGCCTTAAAAGAAAGAGGTACAGCAATGCTAAGGTAGTTCTTATACTCTCTGCAGGGTTTATGTTCATAGAGACATCACTCTTAATGTCAGTTTTCAGTCAAAACGTGTCAATAGGTATTTAGAGCATGGAAGGCCCTTGCTATTCTATAAATGCTTTATAGGATCATTCATAGGACTGAGAAATCAGAATGATAAAACTTCAGTGTATGAGAACCAAGTGTGATAAATGTAATTGCATCCATAGCTAAAACCCCATAGACGCTACTGATGGTATTCCTAGTGGGATTTGGGAATGTTTATTGCTCTTTCTATCACTTTGTGCACAATAAAAGGTAGATAATATGTTATCCTATATTACTGAGTCACATGTCTATTACTGAATTTTCTTTGATAAAATCTGTATTTTATTTCAGTGGCATAGTAGTTACTTATATAACCATTGTAATGGTGCAGCTGCAGCTCTTCAATCTTCACAATTCCACGGTGAAATAGATGAAGACTTAAAATAGGAATGGCTGTAGTGTTTGTTTTACTGTAGTAAATAAGCTATGTAAATAAAAGTAAATGCAGTTATAATAAGAGAGAAACTTATGATGACAAGTTTTGTGCTTCTGAGGATAGAAATGTTCATATAGATTTGAGAAACATTTTAGTTGCCTTAGATGCAGGCTATGCTACAACAAATGTAGGCTATTGAGAAGACAAGTGATGTGTTTTTAACATGGACACACTAATTATTCTAAGCTATAGCTGATTATTATTCTGAGAATTACATGATAGTATAGAGGCAGTTAACAGTTGATGGGGAGGATAGGAGTATGGGGTAGGGTATGCAAGAAAGTATTTAGATGTGAGTTTTTTGGGTATTTTGGTTAACAGGCTGAAAATCTATTTGCTGTCTTCATGCCTATTGTGCCTATCCTGTGCCTACTGATAGTCATTAGAGTGATGATACATTTTAATATGCAGTAATGGTTTTTTGATAAATTTTTAGTAAGTTAAGTAGGAAGCAGTGAAGTTTATGAAAATGATAAATTCATGGAGAGATTGGGAAGAGTTTTTGCCACTCTTGGCTTTAGCAGCTTAAATAGCTTTCTTCTTCTTCCTGAAAGGAGTCTGGAATGACAGTTCATAATGCTTCAGCTACTACAGTATCATTGTCTCAGAACAGAAGACTTCACAGTATGAAATGTGGACCATCCAGTAAGTTAAACTTTTCTTTTTCATGGAAATTACTTCATCTGTCCCTGATATTCTGCATGACTTAACTATTGCAATGAAGGAAAAAAGTTGAGTAATACAAATCTATTAATAATAATAATTAACATATAAGTCAGTGCTACAAAATTATGCTGAGAAATTTATTACCACAATTAATGCAGAATTTAGTACACAGTGTTTCTTGCTAAGAGAATTTTTTTAATGGCACAAATGAATTTTGTGTTCTGCTTCAGAGAAACTGACAGAAAGGGTTAACAGTCACTGTGCTACTTGAACAGAACTATTGCAGAAAGATCATGAGTTAAATCACTTCAGAGTAGGCCTAGTACTAAAGCGGAGAAGAAATCTAGAGTGGAGAATAAAAGTGTTTCAAGCTAACTCATCACGTCTGAGCTTTTAAATGAGGATGTAGATATGACAAAGAATTGTTTCATTGTCTTCTATAGATGCTATAGGATGAACCTCCTAGAATCATAGTTTTGGTTGGAAGGAAGCTCTAGGACCATCTATCCAACCCCTTCTATAGGCCACTCAGCCTGGTCTTGAATGCCTACAGGGAGGGG